GGTCACCTTTCTACCTACCCACCAGCCGGCTACTGAGTCCTATCACGCGCCTTCTTCCCCTTCGCAGTCCATTTACTCTGGGGACTCGTCATCTCATGAATACGAGGCTGATCTGGAGATTCTGATGTCTGAGGAGGAGGAACCCTCCCCTGAGACACCATCACTTAGTGGTCTCTTTAACCCTGCCTGTTTTGTGCCCCTGCTTTGCAAGGCCACTTCTACAACACATCTCGGACCCGATCCTTCCACGCCAGCAATTTCAGTCACTCCAGACTTGGAGGCGGATCCGAATTTCACCAAACTGGTAACTACACAATACCGCGTTCCTTGCCCTCCCATGTTCCTCAACGCGGTCTGAAAGCAATGGGTATCTCTGGCCTCTTTTCCCCTTCCAAGTAGCAATGAGAAAAGACTTTATAACGTGGCCCAGGACCTGGAGGTGGCTCTGGATGTACCCGCGATAGATGAACCTTTAGGACTCCTTGTGTCTCCAACCGTCATTCCTGGTGACATCTCTGAGGCCCTCAAGGCTGAGGACCGTAAATGTGAGCTCTCTTTCCGTAGAACACATCAAGCCGCGGCGTGGGCTATCAGAGCAGCTACCTCTGCATCCTTTTTTAACAGGTCTGCTCTCCGCTGGCTTAGACAGCTTCAGGTCAGGATACTGGCGGAGGATATCCGCACGCATCAAGATCTAAGTAAGATGGTGGCGGCTACAGAATATGCTTCCGATGCCACCCTTCAGGCTGCCAGATTTTCCTCCAGAGCCATGGCATCCAACGTCACTTGCCGCCGTATGCTCTGGTTGAAACACTGGCACGCTGACGCCAAGTCCGAATGGAGTTTGTCACCAGCCCCTTATCAGGGAGGGAAATTGTTTGGTGAAGCTCTGAATCCTTACCTCACTGAAAATAAGGATAAACGTAAGGTCCTCAATCACCTCCTTAAACGGTCGGACAAACTCCCAACACCTACTCACAGAGGCAGCCCTTTTGCACTGGAGCCAGATCCAACTACTCCCAGCCCAACTGTTCTTTCCCTATCAGACAAGACAGACAGGACAGACAGTCTGACAGACAGGTTTCCAGACCCAGACAACAATTTCAGGGCAAACAGCCCTTTCGCGGGAGCAGCCTCCCATTCCGCCGATCCAGGTGACTCTCAGGCGGATCCTCCCATCGGGGGCAGACTCTTTCTCTTTGTCTGCCAGTGGGAAGCCACCACCACGGATGCATGGGTCCTAAACACCGTGCATCATGGACTGTCCCTGGAGTTCATCTCCAACCCCCCGAATCACTTCATTTCTTGTCCCCAACTAAGAAATCCAACAAAGAAAAAACTAATGCGAGATTCCATTGGTCATCTCTTAAACATTCGGGCCATAGAACTGGTGCCATTGGATCAGAGAGGTCAGGGATTTTACTCCATCCTCTTTGTCGTCCCCAAGGTGTCATCCTGGATCTAAAAGGATTAAACTATCATCTTGCATACCACAAATTCAAGATGCAAACGCTCCAGTCCATCTTGGGAAGCGTAAGAAGGGAGGACTTCCTGACGTCTATCAACCTCATGGAAGCATACCTCCACATCCCCATCTCTCTCACCCACCGCCGGTTTCTAAGATTCGCCCACAGGGGACATTATTATCAACACAGGGCACTCCCGTTCGGCCTATCCTCAGCTCCGAGGGTCTTTACCAAGATCCTGGCGGTTCTAGCAGCTCACCTGAGAATGGTGCCAGTCAGAGTCCACTGCTACCTGGACGACATTTTAATCCAGTCATCATCGATCCAGGCTGCTCAGGCAGATCTCGAACTGGTGATAATGCTGCTCCAGAATCACGGGTTCTCGGTGAACTTCTCCAAGAACCATTTGGTCCCCACAACAAGGTTATTACACCTAGGTGTCATCATAGACACGGTGGAATGCTGGGTCTATTTATCCCAAGAACGCCGGGACAGCATCAGGGAGTCGATTCTCCAATTGCGCAGGGATTGAACGGTAATGTTGGCCAGCCTCTCCCAATTACTGGGGAAGATGATCTCGGCCATTGCGATTGTACCTTGGGCCAGGCTCCACTCCAGGAACCTTCAGTGGTTCCTGCTCCCCTTCCAGAGACTAAACATCAGTTCCTCCAATCGAAGGGTGAGACTTTCACTTCACATCTCGAGATCCCTCACATGGTAGCTCTCGTCGGCCATGCTCAAGGGGTCTTACTTCAAGGAGTCCGATCGACTCACCCTTACAACCAACACCAGCCTGTTCGGCTGGGGACCGACCTTCGCTCACAGTGGGCCCAGGGCCGTTGGTCCCGCTCTGACCTTTGGCACAATATCAACTGGCTGGAGCTCAGGGCCGTACACCTGGCCCTGCGCCACTTTCGCGGCATAGTAGCAAAGCGTCACGTGTTGGTCCTCACGTGTTGGCTGCCAAGGGCACATGTGAACCGGCAAGGGGGCACCCGATCTCGTGCACTCTTGACCGAGGCACTCCTGCTGGGCTCCTGGGCAGAAGCCAACCTGGCCTCCATCAAGGCCGACCACATTTCAGGGGAGGCAAACACTCAGGCCGACTTCCTGAGCCAGGCAACGGTGGACCATTCGGAATGGCGCCTGCACCCAAGGATCTTCAAGGAGATCTGCCACCGCTTCGGATTGCCAGTTCTAGACCTTTTTGCCTCCCCAACAAACACTCATCTCCAGCTATTCTTTTCTCACCTTCCATCTCCAGGGTCAGAAGGAGCGGATGCTCTTCAGAGCCTGTGGCCGGAGGGACTGCTTTACACCTTCCTTCCTCTTCCTCTTCTTCTGGCAGTTGTCCGCAAGCTTCTTCGGGAGCAGGCGGAGGTTCTTCTAGTGGCCCCGTAATGGCCATGGAGACCATGGTTCGCCGACCTGGTGAACCTCTCTCTAGTGGCCCCATGGAGGATTCTCCCAGATCAGGGTCTACTCAGCCAGGGGACCCTTCTTCATCCAGACCCCCAGTGGCTCCAGTTAGCCATCTGGCACTTGAGCGCTCGATCCTGTCTCAAGAGTCCTGCTCGCAGGGGGTCATTACCATAATCCGGGCCTCCTATCAATCCTCTACCAACCGTATTTATGAGGCCACGTGGAGGAACTTCTATTTGTGGTGCTCGAACCACCACTTGACCATTCCAGACTTGACAATTCCACATATATTGGATTACCTTCTACAGGGTCTGGAGAGGGGCTTGGCTCCAAACACATTGCGCAGACAAGTCGCCGCTCTCTCCACTGTACTTACCTGTGACTCAGCGGTTTCCTTAGGTCATCATCCCTTGATCCGCTCGTTCATCAAGGGGGCTACTAACACCAGGCCCCCTGTAGTGCATAGGTATCCCTCTTGGGACCTGCCATGAGTTCTTCGGGCTCTAACCAGACCGCCCTTTGAACCCCTCAAGACATGTGATATACGATACGTATCGCACAAGGTCGCATTCCTGGTGGCAATCATATCTGCGCGACGAATATCAGAATTGGTGGCACTTTCAGTCAGAGATGACTTGTGCTTTTTTCACCAGGACCGAATGGTCCTTCGTCTAGACCCTGCCTTTCTTCCTAAGGTCAATTCTGTTTTCCACAGGGCTCAAGAAATCGTACTCCCGCATTTCTGTCCTCACCCATCTCATGCCCTGGAATGGCAATGGCACCTTCTGGACGTCCGCAGTGCACTCCGTTACTACATCTCACAGACAGCTGCCTTCCGCAACTCTGAGGCCCTCTTTGTCTCCTTCCATCCTTCTTCCAAGGATCGGAAGTTGTCCTTCTCCACAATTGGCAGGTGGATTAGGGCGTGTATTGCGGGGGCGTACCAGGTTGAATCATTGCTGGTTCCACGACGGGTAATGGCCCACTCAACCCGTAGTGTGGCTACCTCTGCGGCCTGGGCCACTCAGGCGTCCATTGAGGATGTTTGCAGAGCGGCCACATGGTCTTCACCATCTCCTTTTATAAGGCATTACAAGATTGACAGGTTCGCCTCGGCGGAGGCCTCCTTTGGTAGGAGGGTTCTCCAACAGGTCGTACCTCAAAGTGCCACGCTGGACTGGCCTGCTCCCCTCCCTCAGGGACAGTAGGCTTTGGTATGTCCCATTGGTGGATTATCCATCTCCAATTCTGGAGAAGGGGCGTTGTCTTACCTGAACGCCTTTTCTCAGCACAGAGATGGATAATCCACTCCTGCCCTTGCAGGTTACTTAGGCCTAGGGTTAGATTTATGAGCCAACACGTCTTGCTGTCAGTCATGGCTTCGCCTGCGTCAAGACTGGGACACTCTAGCCCAGGACAGGCGTTGCAACTTTGGCTGACTTGATCTGATTGGGCAGGAACACGGTCTAAACCCATTGGTGGATTATCCATCTCCGTGCTGAGAAAAGGTGTTCAGGTAAGACAACGCCCCTTTTCAAGGTGATTACAGTGTCATTTCTAGAAAGCGAAGTTGGGATGCTCAGAATGAGTTGGTTAAATTCATATTCAGTAACTATCTTATTGATTTCTGGATAATAATGAAAATAACCTGGGTGGATTATTGGTAGAATGAACAACTAAGCGCTAGATTGCAAGTACATCTTTGCCTTTTTAGATATCTAGGATGTAAAAAAATAGGCCAGACACACCCACAAGACATATTAGTGTATGCAAGTTAGTAATAAGAGTAGGCATTGCTCTCTATTGAATTGTTCCTTCAATGAATTAATAAATCTAACTTTATGTAAGCCAAGGGCATAATGTTGACCGATATAATGTTAACTTCTAAATTATTAGAACATCAATTATGAATCTGTAATAATGAAAAAACTTGCCTTGAATATTTTGTAAATGAACTCTTGGCAGTCTGACTTGAAGATTATTAGTGTGGTACTTCAAAGGATTTTGAGGACATCACATTGAAGAAGACAAGTTTTAAAGTCACTGCTTTGAATAGCATTGGTGTGTGAAATTCCTACGAATATGAAAAGTAGTGTTGCTTTTTCTTTGCAGTGCCTCCAAAGCCATTACATCTGCAGAATTCACAGTCATCCATTACCCACCAAACCCCTAAGTCTAAAGCTTTGTATACCACGAAGCCAAGAATGGAGGAAATTACACCTATCTCTTCTTGTGTCTCGAAAGAAAAATCTAGTAAAGTGTCTGATCTCATCAGTCATTTTGAAGGAGGCAGGTAAACACATTTCATTTTATTCAAAGGTTGCAGATTGAAATGAGCATATGTGATGATAATAAATGAAGAGGAAAAACATGTTCCATTTTTTATGGCGAGTACAGACAGTTGCTATGGTTGATCTACTAAATTACACAATTTGAATGATGATGCATTATTGATTGGACCAGATCAATTTTAGCTGGAAATGAAAACAAATATTCTCATGACACAGGAGTGTGTGTGCTTACATACAATGATCAGAACTTAAGCAGAGATAATAACTGATTTCTTTTTAAAGCTGCCTTCAGTGGGATTAATTTTAGGGAGTGGAAAATGAGTAAATGTAAGAAATAGAGAGGATCATCCAATTTCTTTCTTTTTATAACCGCCTACATTTCCTCTCTTACTCATTATCACATTTTTTACTTTCTCTCCCCCTCAATGTGCAGCAGGCTGGGACAGATTTCATTTGGATAGAAATCTGAATTAATTGCTATTAGTAGATTATACAGTGAGGATGAGGGTCAGATGAGGTCCCGGCCCATTCATGATTTCTAACCTGGGCTTAGATCAGTGTTCATGTAGACTTTTGACAGCAAAAATATGAAAAGCTCGGTTAATTTTAGTAATCTTACCAAATTAGTATAATATTGCTGCAAATCTCCTTTTTTCCTGTTAACATTTTCAGTACTGTATAAGGCAAAGCCATGATTCTTCATTGAAAAGAACTTGGGCTTTTGTTTGAGGTTTTAGAATTTGTTATCCTTTATTTTTCAAGAGTTCTTATCTGTTTTAAACATTAAGCTAATACATGTAGGCCTCGACTTACGACCAAAATTTATGTTGCTAAGTGAGAAATTTGTTAAGTGAGTTTTGCCCCATTTTATGACTTGAGGACACATTTGTTAATTAAATCACTGAAGTTGTTAAATTAGTAACATTGTGATTAAGTGAATCTGGCTTCCCCATTGACTTTGCTTGCCAGAAGTTTACAAAAGGGGATCACATGACCCTGGATATGCTGCAACGGTCATAAGTATGAAAAATGGTCACAAGTCACTTTCAGTTGTAACTTTGAACGGTCACTAAATGAATTGTTGTAAGTTGAGGACTTCCTGTATTGCTTGTTTGCATTCCATCCATTCCATTCCATCCCAACAGATTGCTAACATCCATGCTTTTCTCTTACTGTAAATCATGACACAAGTTCAACATTGTTCCTCTTCTTCATTCTGGAATATAATTTTTTTCTTTTGTCCAATTCAGGAAAAAGGATCTGGTCATAATGAGATTCTTAGTTCAAAAAGCATATTTAATATTATCATCTAAAGTAGCATAATTCCATGATTACTGTGTTTGTCTTTCTTTGTTCTTTTTCAAACTTAGAAGGCTCACCTGTGCCTTTTCTAAGGAGAACCATCCTCTTCATCTCAGTGCAAAAAGAAGTTGGATAAAATCTTTTCCCTTGACAAGAATAGGTGACTCCAAATAAATACTTCAGAGTTAATTTACAAATACCAGGTGGCCTTTGACTAAAGTGACTTTCTTGATATCCTAAAAGTGGACAAAGTCTTGGTAGCAAATGGTCCAGCTCTTTCTTGTAATATCCCCACTTCTTCTTGACTGAAGCCTCCTGCTGCTTATATTATTTAGATTTAGCATCTCTCTTATCCAAACTTACAGTTGCCAACTTATTATAGAAAGACATTATGTAGGTTCTATAGTTAAATGTTTTTATAGGAAGTTCATAATTTGCATTGAATGATAAAACACTAGACATCTATACATAAATCTTCTGGGACCTCCCTATTGGGTTAGCTTCATTCCAGAACAAAAATTTGTTGTCTTTTCATTCTAGAATTTTTTCCCTTGGTTTGTGGGTCTTATCTGCTGAGTGACCTAAGATGCAGGTGACTGGGAAATAGAAGATAAGGAGTCCTCATGCAAATGAGCTGGCAGTTGCAGTTTAACCATTTTTAATAAAGGTAATAAAAGGGTACCATTGCAACAGGGAATTGGGGATGATTGAACTCCATTAAATATTTGGAGTCTGGTGAAGTAAATTAGTCCAGTTGTTGGGTTCCATAAAAATTATCCTAGAGAGAAGCAAAAATAGAGGGGTGCACATGGTAGAGGAATATCTTGCAGGAGGGAATGGTTGCTTTGAGGAAAGTGATAAATACTTTGCACTGATAAATTAGAGTGTTCCAGAAAGAGGCACCACTAAATAAAACCAACACCATCTCAACTTCAATAGTCTTCACTGCATTTTGGGTGATGAACAAATCAGCACGTTTCACTAAAGTTAAAATAGGACTTTGAACATAACAGTCTTGCTGTCTGAGCTGTTGCAATTTCTTTAAATCTCCTTTTGTTCTATTTAGTTATCTGCAAAGATAGATGACTATTGTGGGATTGTGCTGCTGAGAGAAGAATAGGAGAGAGAGAGAGGGGGAGAGAGGGAGAGGGAGAGAGAGAGACTCCTGTTGCCTGGCAGATTGTATGAGAGAGCTAGATTGGAAACCAATTGCTTTTGTCTCCTGTCTTTTTCATAGTGAGCAAAATTAAGGAGGATTAAGCCAAAATTACAACTCAGGTCATACATCATGCTAAATTTTTGCCTTGGTTTTGGTATTACATCTGGACTGAAAAATATCTAGATTTAATATTAGAAGGCAGCAAAAAAAAAAAAAATAGAATTTTCTCCAGGTTTTTTTTCTTTTGCATGGTCATTATGATTTTTGCAATGCAGATATGGTAACCCTAATTTTGCCTCAGCATGTCTGAACTTAACATGTGGATTATAAACAATGGCTTAGTACACTCTATGAAGCTAGCAGAAAAAAAAACACATCATAGTCCAAACATAGCCATGTTGTTAAAACAATGATTATGTGGTTTCCCTCTTATTATGGAAATGCCCTTAGAAGTCACAGTGGTGCCACACTGTCTTCAGGAAGATGGAAAAGGTAGGTTTTTGCTGGTGTCTGGGATCCGAGGGTTTTATAATTGTTGTTTTTTCCCTTGTTTTCTTTTGGAATTTTATGAGGTTGTTTCATGGATTTGTAAATGTCCAAGTCTGGTGGTTGAGGACACTATACAAATCATGGTTGTCCAACCTTTTGGCTTGCCTGGCCACATTGAGTGAAGAGGAATTGTCTTGGGCTGTATAATATATTAACTATATAATATAGTTAATATGTAAAAATAACAAATGAACAAATTCCATTATGTTTTAATATTTTTATTATCTTGGGGGGCTGTATTACTAACTGTCCAGGGCCACATGTAGCCCATGAGCTGTGGATTGGACACGCCTAATATAGATATTGTAATAAAGGAATAAATAAGTTGGAATTTGTAATTCATAAATCATGGCTTTTTGCAAAATAGACCATAGTTTAATCAATTTGAGAATTACACAAATAATAATCATCTGTTTTAGCATTATTGATTGATATAGCTGCAGTAAATAGTGCTGGTTTAAATGAACAAGTAGCTCGACTCTGTGTAAGAGTTTCCTATATTTGTTTGTATGCTTACAGTGTTCTGTGGTGTATTTCAGATAAAAATCCAACATAAAGAATATTATATTTGGGGGAAAGAATTAAAATATATAAAATTAGTGCCAGTAGTATGTGAACTGAACAGCTTCATTTAACATCAATATTAGTTAGTATTTTTAATAAGCAAAGCACGTGTACATAAGTGTGCACGTCTTGAGATGTATGAAAAAGTAGAAATAAAATGCCCAGATTCCATTTTTCTGATTTCTTTTTCTATGTAAAAGAGGTGTAATTATTAGACATTTTGTTTTGCCATTTATGCTACCGGTATTTGTTATGGTGATGGAACTGTGTATTGACTAGAAGAAGAATCTGCATAAATTTGCAATTTAGTTGTTGCCCGATGCTTTCCAGATATTTGGGAGGATAGGTCTGGAACATTACTGCAAAGACCTTAGATGAGTAAACATTATACCTCTTCTTAGAAAAGCAATTGTTGATGGGGGGAACATTATTTTAAAGAAAAACTTATGTTCATTTATTTGATTTATTAGATTAATAAACTCCTTTTGATCAAGAGCTCAAACTAATTTATGCAGGACTCCCCTATTTTATTTTACAAGCAATCTGTTTCGTAGGAGAGAGAACAAGATTTCCCCCCCAGTTTCAATATGATATTTCTGCCTTTCGATTAAACGCACATGAAGATTAACTTTTGGTTTTCTTTAATCTACTGCTGGAAAAAAGGCAGAAAATTGTGCTACTTTAGTGACCTTGGAATATTTGGGTCCCATGAATTGGTGCTTGGTTAAAAGCATCACATCTTAGGTTACAAAGAAGAAAACATTTAATACAAGAAAGAGGCAAGATATATATAAAAGAGCAAAAAAGAAACAAGCCATTGTGATAAAAATCCCTTGGTGAACTGCTCTCCTATTGACCATAGTCTGAGCACTAACTACTTTCACCATTTTTTATTATACCTCCTTCTCAGCCTATTAAATCTCTCTCTGCCATTTGACCTGACAAAGTCTTGCATTCATTATTCTTGCCTTCCACCACAGAATCATCCTGCTTATCCTCTTCCTTTGCTCTTTCTTCCTCTCAATCTCTTCATCACCACCAGTGTCATTGTTATCATCATCGCCACCGTCATCATCTTCACATCTTCGGTTGCTTAGGCTCTTTTGATTATTACTTAATTCCATTTTAGATACTGCCTGATTGCCAGATTCTAATCTAGACTATTCGCAAACAGTAACATAAAAACCAATAAGAAACAACAAATAATGTGGAATCTGAGCACATTAAACAAGCAGAAAACAAAAATAAAAACACACTGAACAAGGGACCCGTTGGTCTCACCTCAGGCCTTGGGAGTACAAACAGGTCTTCAAGTCTTTATGGAACATCAATGGGATAGAAGTCACACCATTTCAGGGGGGAATCTCATTCCAGAAGACAAGTGGCACACCAGCTATTCCTGACAGAGGAAGTCTTTCATCGATGCTATAAATATCTTCAAGTGGTTCAATACCTCTAGCCGCAAACAAAATATTTAAATTAGGATATGCTTGTAATATGTTGTTTTCCATAGATTTGTTTTTTCTTCTTTTTGCTCCTTAGGTTAAGAAAGTTTTCAAGTATTAAAAAGTAGCAAGTTTTATATAGCAGGAAGGGTAGAGTAGCCAGAAGATCCAAGCCAGACCTCTTTCATTAATAATAGCAGGATCTCAACCCTTTCTCCAATCTCCAGCAAAAAAAGGGGGAATGTATGTATGTATGTATGTATGTATGTATGTATGTACAGGTAGATAGACAGATAATAGACAGACATGCAGACAGATAACCTGCAGAGAAGACCAGGCCTGCAAGTAAATACAAAACAGATTTCCCTCACATCCATCTAATTACAATCTCAATCTTGTCTCCTTATTAATCTTTAATAAGATTAGTATTATGAGTGAATCTCTATCTCACAGTGGCTTTTTATACTGTGGAGTCCTTGGTGCTTGGTTGTTTGCTTACAGATGTTTCATTACCTAACTAGGTAACTTCATCAGTGCAAGTGAGTATGGAGTTTGCTTCTTGTTTATATACAACAGCTTGCTCTGACAGTTTTGGAGAGGTGTGGTTTCTCCTGGATGGTTCCTTGATTAGTGTATTGTTTTAATTTTTAATACTAATTTTGCACATATACATCAGGATTCAGTTTCTGTATTTTATTCTTTTTAGCACATCCTTTCCCAATGAACTGAAGAAAGACTCTTCTGTTTTAAATGTTGGTAAACCTCAAGGAAAGTATGGACCAGGGCCATCACCTCAGCCAAAATTCCTCACCCAGCATCCCCTACACGAGCAGGGAAAGAGTAGAGATTGGTCTCAGGATGTACAGAATCACACAGCCAATGGCATAATAGCACAGAATCAGTGGGACTGCCAAGACAAGGGGTCTGCCTACCGTGCCTGCAGAAACATTCAAAATGACTGTGATGCAGTTGATAGCAGTTTGGTAAATGGAGAAAGAGGGAACACTAGTACGGACTCATTGCCAACCACAGCAGCTTGCAAGGGGCAGAAGATCAAGAGCTATCACTGGGCTTCAAGTGCAAATTCATTTCCATCTGTAAAAGAAGCTGGAGAGATGATTGCCAATAAGGAAGAGAAGCGGGTTGAGCAAGGCAGTCAGCGAGACCCTAACACAGAGACAAAGGTAAGAAGTCTGGATTAGACAAAAAAAAGTGATTTTCACATTAATACGATAACCGTGTTTTGTAAAGAAGCTTCTGATCATCACAACCATTTTGGTTCCACGTATTCTTAAGATCTGTAGAAATTTGATACGACTTTTTATTAGATTGCATTGGAGAGCCTTTTGAAATGAAGAGCCTTTCCTTTACAGAGAGTTCTTTTTTCACCAACTGCTTGTTCAAAGTTCGAAGTTGCCGCGGTGCTGAAGAGAGAGACTTACAACTGGTTTTTGAAGTGGCATCCCAGAGTCACATGATTCTGATCGGAGCCCTTTGACAATTGGCACACATTTATGCCAGCCACAACCTCCCAGTCACCTGACCGCCTTTTATTTTATTTTATATTTTATTATTTATTTTATTTTATTTATTTTTATTAGTTATTTTATTTTATTTATGTTATTATTTATTTTATTTTATTATTTTTTATGTTTTTATCTTTGTACAGTTTTAATTTTTTATGATTGTAAGAGTTACCCTGAGGTAAGACGGGTGGCCAATACATTTTATAAAAAAATAATAAAATAAAATTAAAAAAATAAAATTTGTGACCTTCATAGTCAGCTCCTGACAAGAAAAAGTCAGTGGGGAAACCACCAGGAGGTTGCAAGTTATGGTCACGTGATGTTGTGTTTAACAACCCATGGTGATTTGCTTAATGACTGCAGCTGGAATTATTGTAAGTCACATGATATTTCACTTAGGGATCATGTTGCTTAGCAACAGAGTTGTCATTCCCAAGTGCAGTCAGTAAGTGAGCGCTATCTACATTTCACGGTGTAAGTCTAGGTATTTCCAGAATGTAGTGCTATTCCTGGATCATCACTGCATCTTTGTACAGACATCATCTTGGGACACTCAATTTTCAGTTTTTCAAGATACTGAACTCTACCACCTTTGAAGCAGGCAGCATCCCGAATTGGTTGAGGCTCTCCCCAGTGCCTGCATCTCCATTGATCTCCTTTTCTTGTGAATAGACACAAGAAATTCACACAGGCAAATCAAACCCAGGATGTAGTACTTGTTGGCCAGAGGCAATTATTGCCTTCTGTTGTAGGTGAGCTGAAGGGAGCAAGTATCATTTCTAGCTCCACAGTGGCTGCAGTTAATAAAATTGTGGGCTTTTGTGAGAATGGCTCTGAGGGTTTGGGGACAGGTGATAGCTGTGTGAAATTGCCATTTGTTTCTCTGTCTGTGAAGGAGTACACTTTCTGTTCAACAGGGCAAGCGCTCTGGGGTAAGCGCCCTTCCTGTGAAACTGGGAGAAATGACACACTTGGTATCACCATTAATCTAGATGTTAAAGCAGCTGCTAAGGAATAATCCTGGGGGAGTTTGTTATGAAGTCCCCTTCTCAATTGGAGACGGCATTCTTGCTCAATTTAAACACACACACACACACACACACACACACACACACACAAACCTATTTCTCTAAAGAGCCAAAATGGTTCTTTTGTCTTTCTGAGGGTATTAATATCAATGCCTAATGCTAAGTGCAAAGTAATACAGGAAGATGGACCAAATAAATGGATTATTATTTGATAATAATATTCAGGAAAAAGCAATTATTGGGTGCTGATAAACGATATACAAGAAAGTGGTGGTGGATATCTAGAGAAGGGGATGAAAGGTATCAGCTTAATCTGAACTTCTCACCACCTGAATCCCTGAATTAATGTTTCAGCATACATCCTTTGATGGCAACTAATACATAAGTCCTCAACTTACAACAGTTCACTTAGTGATCATTTGAAGTTAAAATGGCACTGAAAAAAGTGACATAACCATTTTTCACACTTATGACCGTTGCAGGATCCCCGTGGTCACAGGATTTACATTCAGATGCTTGACAGCTGGTTCATATTTATGACGGTCGCAATGTCCCGTGGTCACGTGATCACCTTTTGTGACCTTTTGACAAGCAAAGTCAGTGGGGAAGCCAGATTCACTTAACAACCGTGTTATAACACTGCAGTGATTTACTTAACAAATGTGGAAGAAAAGGCATAAAATAGGACAAAACTCACTTAATAAATGTCTCATTTAGCAACATAAATTTTGGGTTCACTTGTGGTCGTAAGTCAAGGACTTACATGTCCTGTGAGAGACGTTTTTTGACAATTCATTCCATGGTTCGGCTGTAATGGCAGATATATTTAGGCTAGAAATAAGCTCTTCATATGGGAATGAACACAACTTGGAAAAATAGCTTCATCAAGGTTGCTATAAAATGGAAAAGACATGTAAGGAGAAGTCAGAAAATTGAGGAAAAAACTCAATTTTGCATTCTGTAATACAACAAACAAAGCAAAGAATTCATGAATGCATTTATTCCACCCCAATTTCAACTGTAATTTAGTAGCAATTGGCTATGGTTTGTCTTCATGGAATTTAGAATTAGAATTGGGCCCCAGTTGTAATCCTAGCCAGCATTCTTGAGTACATTCCTATTTGCATGCAGTTCAAATACAATTTTCAATTTGTACTGTAAAGATCAAGTTGGTCTCACAGAGAGGGAAGATCTGCTTTGAAAAGAATATGGACGTATAATACTTCGGTCTGCATGTCTTGTCCAGTGTGACCAATACCGGCTATTTGTTTCACGTAATGGCATTATAACACAAAATGTGTACTGGCCTAGACAGAGTTGCTTAAGGGAATTAGATTGCATTCGAAACAAAGATTTTCTTTGGTGGCATAATTTGGCCATTCTTGTGCAAAGACTTTCAGATGGAAAAGAAGATATAATAGAATAATGGATACAGGAGTTGATTGTTTGCTTATTTCATATTATATAAATCTTCTGCTCCAACGCAACCTTTCATTATACATTCCCAGCCAGCTTCTGACAAGCAAAGTCAATGGAGGAAGCGAGATTTGCTTAATGATCGTATGATTCATTTAACAACTTCAATGATTTGCTTAACAACCATAAAAAAGCTTGTAAAATTGGACACAACTCACTTAACAACCGCATTGCTGGAAATTCTGGTCCCAGTTGTGGTCATAAATTGAGGACTATGTGTATATGTTTTTTATATAAATTACTGATGGCCAGTGACTGCAAAGCTGGCTCAGATGCTGTCAAAAGATGGTGGCTCCAAATATGATCAGAACAACCATCATATCCCTGTGCATGTAAGATCTTATTGACAAGACCCAAGGATATCATTTCACATATTACAATTTGAAGTTATATATTTAAGAAAAAGTTGCAACAGCCAAAACCATCTTGGAAAGTAAAAAAAATGGATAAAGCTTTCATGCAGTGATGTTAGATGTTACTTACGCTACAATATTAGGATTAAACACAGATAAAGTGGCCACAGTTGTTAGTAATGCCTCTGTAATGTGAGTTTATCTGAAGTGGAAAAACAAGCAAGCAAAATAGTAAGCTTTTGTTGAGTAAATTGATACCATTAGTTAGTGCTTCTGATGTTAATATTGGCCAAAAAAATCCTAGGCCACATTAAAAAGCATTTATACTTACTTTTGTTTTAACACAATAAGATAGGCCTTGGATTGTTTGTGTGCCATTCTGGTTTTTCATATAGTTTCCTGTGCTCAGTTGAGTTCAGTTCTGAAAAAAAATCATTGCTTGATAAACACAGAAACTGATTGCAAAAGAAATGGTAGAAATTACATTTTTAAAATCACATGTATTTCCAGGAAACAAATGAAGAGAAATGTTACAAAATTGTCAATGAGCTTTTGCACACTGAAAGAGCTTATGTGAGTAGACTTGCTCTCTTGGATCAGGTAAGCATTTTTTTCTACCTCCTTATTTTTTGTGTGAAGAAATGTTTTAATTTAATTTAATATATATAAAAAACGCTTGCTTGAGTCACACGCAGTGCTAATCCATAATATGGTGAAAACCTGGGCTTAGAGTTACGAAATAAATCATGTACAGGAAGACTTTTTTTTTTAATCTGAATCTGTTTTGAAATTAGCCTGGATTAAAACTAAAGAATATGTTTGTTTCCTCAAATGTTCCCCAAACATCTGCATATCACTCTTGGAAATATGCTATCATTTTATTCTTCCACCACATCTTCATAAATGCATTATCTCTTCCCCACATTTTCTACCAGTGTTTTTCCTTTATGTGGATTATTACATTATTATCAGTAGCTTTTGAAGATCAGCACTCAACTCCAGAGTCAGTAATATAGAACTGCCAGCATTGTGTCAAAACCTGCCCCACCAATGGAATTTGCAGGTCTCCTAATTTAAATAATAATTCATTTTTACTGGAATCTGATGAAATGGCCAAATCATAAGATATCGAAATTACTGCCAGAATATTGGACAATATATAATGATTTCCCAAGATGTTGGTCATGCATATTTGTAAATTTATACAAGCATATACCATATATGCCGGCGTACAAGGCGACCCAGCGTATAAGACGACCCCCGTCTTTATCACCGAGCTGCATTCCTAGAACGTCATCTTATACGCCGGAAACTACCAGTATTTCCGGCGTATAAGACAACTCGGTGTATAAGACGATCCCCGTCTTTGGCACCGATTTCAGCACTCGCGGAAGTCGTCTTATATGCCAGCATATACGGTATCCTCAGTGACGATAGATTGGGAATTAGTGTTTTAGATTACATCTTCCTATGCCATTCTTGTCTCTATTGGAAAGAGAAGAGTTATCTAAGTGAGCACACTATTATCAAGAATATTTCCTCCAGTGTCCCATTTTCTCTCTCTCAGCAATGGGGTCCATTTTCTCCCTTTGGCAAACACCACCCTGTGGCTAGTTAGTCACTCCTAATAACCATGAGACCAATTTAATTTTGCAATTAAGAAAGGGAAAATGCACATTCATTTCCCACTTGAAATGATGACTAACTACAAAATAATTAGAAATTACTCATATCCCATCAGAATAAAGTTCCATTTAAATTCCACAGTCCAAAAAATTTTAAAATGTCACACAGCCCACGAGCTTTGGTTTTGCTCTCCTGTTTCAGTAGCCTGTTCTTTTTGTTTACAATAAAATATTTTTCTCCCCAATATTGTATCCAAACATTTTTTATCATGGGGTGTCTGTCTTTTGGATTGCTTCTCACCTTCAATAATTATTTCCCCCCTTTTTGGCTCCTTAGACTATAAATTGAGTTTTGAAGATACTCATTTTTTTTTTTAAATTTAGCCAGCTTCCTTTTGTGTTGATTTGGATTTTTCTCTCTGACTTGAAATGTAAGAAGCACTGCATAGTTGCCAGTTTTGGAATAGAAATTAGACATCTCTTGTTACCTTTAAATTTCTAATGGTTTATTTAGACTACTGTCTTCTTACTGTAGTTATTGGTTACACGGATTAATGCAGTTCCTTTCAGCTTAGTAAGGAGCTGTTTTGCTATGAAGTGATGTACAAGACTGGGAGTGGGCAGCCAAAGAAACAGAACAAATCAATAACAAAATAATATGATTATAAAAGCAAGCAGGCACTTAATTGAAAGCCCTGGGGGTGCAGTGGTTAGAATGCAGTATTGCAGGCTAACTTTGCCCACAGCCAGGAGTTTGATCCTGAATGGCTCAAGGTTGACTCAGATTTCCATCCTTCCAAGGTTGGTAAAATGAGGACCAAGATTGTTGGGGGCAAAATATTGACATTTGTAAACCACTTAGAGAGTGCTGTAAACAATTATTGAGTGGTATATACATTTAAGTGCTGTTGCTACTGATAATTAAAAGAGTACCATATTAGTTTCAGTTGAATATTTGGCTGGCAAATTCATATTAATGCTTGTCATTCATTTGCATATTGGACCTGCCTTATCTTTTCATTAACATCTCATGGATAATACAAGATTCCACTTTTTCTCTATGCTTCATGAGACACAGGCCGAATTCAGTTTTTGTTTCTCTGTAATTAACAGTCCATCTTTCTATCCTTGTTTCAGGATGCACATCAATCTTATTCCATATACCTCATCTATCATTTTTTCATATTCTTGCATTTCCCATTAAAAGTTTTTGTCTTTTGCCTAATCCTTCATTCCCCAAGTCCTGTCCAAAACTTCTTTGACTGATATTCTCATTTCAAATGTCTGATATCTTTGCTGATTTTCTCCAGCTATTCTTACTCACCTGTCTTTCTCTTTGATTGCTTCTTTGCTTGTTTTTAGCAAATCATAGTTTAATGAAGTCTTTTTCAGGCTGCACCCTGTAGAGGTGCTAGAATTGGGAGATTCTGTGAGGTAGTCCTTACATACCTGTTTTAACCTTTTTGAAATTTGTTGAAGTGAAAAGGAGGTGACATGGACCCCTGAAGTTTGCTTGTGATTTTATATTTCCTAAACTAAGCCCTATATTTTGTCTTTTATAGAGAATGCTGTACGTAAATGGTAGCTGCAAGCCACAATAAAAATATTGAAGCCTATGTAAGCTAGTTACTCTGTGTTGCTACATTTTGCCCTTTTAAAAAAGCTATAAATTTTATATTACATTTTCAAACATTCCAAAACATAATATTGAGCAGCTGTACGGCAACACCCAGTTGACTTTGGCTCATCTCAAAAACCTAATATTGGGTGGACCTGACTATACTTGGATGGAAAACTACTAGCAAATCCTTAAGCTACAGGATAGACTGGGAAGTGTTTTTTTAAAAAATCCCAGAAGGTAGCAGTAGCAAATCATTTGTGTACTGATTCTACGAAAACCAGATAGATGTGTCCATGAAGTCACCAGGAATCTAAATGGACGACTAAAATGTGACGATTCTACATCACTAAAATCAGTTTCCTAATTGCAAATCTGTTGGTTTATTAGATCCTAAATTTATAACTTTGTACTCATTCGTAGCGTTGGTAGAAAAATGCACTCTCAAAGTTTTTGTAAAAATTGAAGTTAAGGCTGTATATTCACATGAAACCTAACTATGGTTTATTTAAGAATGACTCTTGATGTTGCACATTCCATTCCACCACCTTTCTCCTGGGTTAGACAACTACAAAAATAGCTTGAAACTTCCCCTGGCAGAAAAATTTGTTTGCATTCAAGTGTGCTTGGGATATTAATTGATTAATGTTATTTCACGAATAAAGGTGAATATACATGTTCCAGGATAATGTTGTAGAACCCAATCAGGATAGGTCACTGGGACCAGAGTAGATAAGAACTGCTAGAGAGAAGTTCCCTGAGGATGGGCTTCAGCATGAGTCCGAAAGCTTGGAAGACTAAACCTCTGGTCCCAGTGTGACCGACCCAGATTGGATCCTGCAATATTATTTTTTTTAAACCAACTTTTTGAGAAGTGGAATTCATTTTATATCATTAAAAAGCTTCATCTTCCATTATAGGTTGGTCACAACAGATGTCAGTCTCTAGTAGACTATGATCCTGAAAAGCTGAGCAGAATTAACATTGAATGGGAGACTGTAAGGGAACCCTAAAGTTAAAAATAACCCACCCCCCAAAAACCTAAAAGAAGACAAACCCCTTTTGTAAGATTTTAATTATGTAGCCTCCAAATCCAGATAAAGCATGTTGCTCTTGTTTGCAGTTAGATTAACTTTTTTAGCTAGCTATCAGCAAGACTAACTCAAGCCTTATGGTAATCTGAAGGAAACGATAAGGGGTCCTAAGACTTTTATTTCATCAGAATGTAGCCAGCTATTAAATCATTATGCATTCAGAATTGTGTAACATAATATGTCCAAGGGCTACGTAAGAGTGAGATGGGCAGGTATATACATCAAATAAAGAAATAAAGAGTAACTGAAGGTTGTTATATCAATCTGTTTCTGTGTTCCGTAAAAATGGAATATGAAAAAGGGTCGATGTGATTGCTCATCAGTGTAACATGGGGATGAATGTTTTGACTTAAATGAGCTGCGAATGTGAGGGAAAATGACTTTTGAAGGAAAGGAAGAAAAAAAAAGAAGCAGCACATAAATCAAAAATCTGCTGGTTTAGAAGATTGCATAGCTTTCCTAGAATAATAACTGACATGTTTGAAGGTCATTTCACACTGTGGTGCTTTGGATTCACAGCAGAAAAAGGTTTTTTGGAGAATACAGGGATGTGAATGTAGTATCCGTCAGCAACTTTTTCTATGAGAGGATGCAGGTACTGGAAGAAAATGCACAGGGGTACAACATGGGTGCCCCCATTACTTCGCACTGTACAGCCTTGCTTTGTAAAGAAACCGCCATGAAGGGCAAAAATAAGTAGCCCTCTATTGACCCTTTAAAACAAACAGAGGCTATAACAAAAGGGGATTATTAAAAACATTATTATAGATTACCTGATATACTAATAAACACCAGAGATCTTTTATCTTGTGCTAATGTGAGGGGAGCAGGAATGCATTTATGCATGACTCTGTCTTCCATTCTTTGCAGGTCTTTTATAGCAAACTAATGGATGAAGCTAGCAGGGGATCATTTCCAGCTGAAGTCGTTAATAAAATATTTTCCAATATTTCATCCATAAATCAGTTCCATAGTCAGTTCTTGCTACCTGATCTTGAGAAAAGAATGCAAGAATGGTAAGCATGGTTGCAAATTGTTGAACAACAGTATGAAAAATAACATGGACATCATCCTTCCGTAGGAGACTGTGGATCCCCCCCCCCCACAAGAAGCATTTAACTTTGTGTAATTGAGATCCTTAAAGATTCTTTATGGAAAAACCCTGGAAATAGAATATACCTTTGCCTTAAAACTAGTATCAAAAATATATGGATTGCCACAAGGCAATATTGGAGCGGACAAGATCAATCTGAATTTGTAGAATAAAAAAGATCAAGTTCTACATCATGAACTGGATGTTTGTTTTAATATGTTAGGAGAAATATACTTGGTCAAGCTGTGAGTTGAATTTTCTTTCTTTTTTAAAAAAAGACTTTTTTATTTTAGCACAGTGCTGCAGTGAACATTTTTTTAAAAAGGGAAGTCTTTATTTTAAGTAGATATTATGACATGGAGTTATATGCACCTTTATTTAACAGTTTTTTTTGTTTCTCTACTTATTTATCTATTGTTTTCTGAACATCAGAAGAAAGGAGAAAAGATAAGAGTTCCAGGGATATTTTTTTTGCAATATTTAATACTGATTTTAGGATAGAAAAGGATTTCTGATTGCAAAAGATCTGCTATTATCTCAATGCCTTTTCAGTACCAACCAAATCTTAACTCCTCTCTCATTTTGTATTGTACAAGAAATTCTGAAATTTATTTCTGCTTTTTGACTAGTTTAAAGTTGTGTCTGGAATTAAGACAAATGTTAAGCTTATTTGTAGTTTAAGATTCATAAGCCCAGATTTCTTTTTGTCTTGCTTCATAAAAAAAATATTTTTCAGAATCATACCTTTTCTGAGTTTGGATGTAGTTGTCAATTACAATCATGCACTAATTTTCCCCAGACCACATTTTAGGAAGAAAGGGAAACATGGCAGCTCATGTTGCCAAACCTTCTTAACATGTGGGATGGGAAACATGGGGCCCATAATCCGTATATACCTCTCAAAGTTCAGTAGCAAAAAAAGTTAATTATTTTCAGCAGCAAGATTTTTGTTATTTTTTAAAATTATAGATACATTAAATTGAACACACCCATGTTTGTTTTTTTATTTCTCCCCTTGGTCATCCAAATTTCTTTCAACTCAAAACCAGATCACATACTTCAGTCCTGTTCATTCTCTGATCCCATTGGGTGGAAAAACACAGAGGTGGGATTACAGATTGTCCTTGTGTAATCTTTCCTATTGTAGAATATTAGTTACAACTTTGAGAATTGCTTGTGTCTCCCTTATGAATGATCAGTATGGAGGATAAAATCTTTCCTAAAGTATAGGCATTGGCTCCTGAACAATTAGAGGCTAGCGTTCTAATGTGGGAGTCTAATTAATTAATTGAAAAGATGAGTGCTTCTCGTGATAGGCCTTCACTAAAAGCACCTGTAATAAATTGTAATCATCACATTTGAGAATATGAGTTTGAGTCTGATAATCCTTTGGCTAGATTATGAAATATTCTTTTTTAAATTGTCACGCGCAAAGTACAGGTAGTCCTCAACTTACGATCTCAATTGAGTCCATTTGTTAAGTGAGTTTTGCCCCATTTTACGACTTTTCTCACCACATTTGTTAAGTGAATCATTACAGTTCTTAAATTAGTAACACAGTTAAATGCATCTGGTTTCCCCATTGACTTTGCCTGTCAGAAGGTTGCAAAAGGGGATCACATGATCCCAGGACACTGCAACCATCATAAATGTGATTCAGTTGTCAAGCATCCAAATGTAAATCACGTGATCATGGGGATGCTGCAATGGTCATAAGTGTGAAAAATGGTCTTAAGTCACTTTTTTCAGTGCTGTTGTAACGTTGAACGGTCACTAAATGAACTGTTTTAATTCGAGGACTACCTGTAGGCAAACTAACCCAATGACAACGAATTTATAGTACTAAAAGGCCCATGGTAAATATTACTTGACTTTTAACACAGTATTCTAATGTTGTTGCCTTTTTTTCCTCCTATTTAGGGACACCAATCCCAGGATCAGTGATATTCTGCAGAAACTGGCTCCTTTTCTCAAGATGTATGGAGAGTATGTGAAGAATTTTGACAATGCAATGGAGCTGGTAAAAACGTGGACTGAGAGATCTCCTTGTTTCAAATCTATTATTCAAGATATTCAGGTAATATGTGTATTTTTGTAGTGTGAGTGAAAGAGACAATGGTTTTATTACACACACACACACACACACACACTTTTAAGACCATGTCAGTAGCATTTTATTTTGTGGCATGGTATAGTGCCTTCTGGAAACAATTTGAAAGTGCCTATAGTTATCTAATATTCTACCCATGAAATTATAAACTTAAGTTGTCTAAAGTGTGGGTCATATGTGGCTAATGAAAACTAGGAGATCTAAAATTCCACTGAATCCAAATTATTAAAGCTGAGGACTACCTGTCTTATACAAGATGTATATTAACAGTTTTCATTTTTTTTTCTAGAAACAGAAAGCTTGTGGAAATCTGACTTTGCAACATCACATGCTAGAACCTGTACAACGAATTCCAAGATACGAGATGCTGTTGAAGGATTATTTGAGAAAATTGCCTGCAGATTCTCTTGATTGGAAAGATGCTGAAAGTAATGTTTGTGTGCATTCTGCATAAAGCGAAAGAGGAACTATTTTACAGTTCTCTATTTTTCTTTGGTTGTCGGGATGAAAAAAAATCTTATTTTTTCTTGCATTTCAGTTGTATACTGGAATGCAAGAGGAAATAAGTATATCAGCATATCAGTATGCATTCTCTTACTGACATACTATATTCAATTTTAATTTCTGATTGTTTTTGCTACTGTCATAAATTAGTTGTAATTTTAAAGGTATTCTTTTTAAATTATGGTTTTTAAAAAAGGGTTTCCATTTTTTTTCCAAATTATTTCATTCATTTCATTCCATGAATGCTCATAATAGTTTTGTGCAAATCTTTAAATAAGAGATTGGTTTGTTAACTCAAACCACAGAAAGATATATGTTATGATTCTTTTTTTTCCAAAGGTCTATTTCCTTGATTAAATTAATGGACTCTGTTTTTTCTGAAATTTGAATAAGGAGGTTAAGATTAGTTTTCCTTCAGCATAGTGGCAGGCCTGTCATATCCTTGCCCTTAACTGACTTACGCAGATTTCATTTGGTGTCAAAAAGACAAGCATAGCAGTCATTTTCATACATATTCCAGTTTAAAGTGACTGAGCTGGCAGTGACAATTTGAATTAATAGCTGGATTTGCATTTTACATAGCGGAAAAATTATTCTGCCAAGGACTTGTTTTATGCTTCATTTCAGTAAAAGATGCATTATCATGACCATTTAATATTCAAGTTTAACATATCTATGTTGGCTGCAGGAAGTCTCTGTTGCTCTGAGGATGTGTATCTCTCTCTCTGTGTGTGTGTGTGTATAGATATGTATATGTATGTATAGATAGATAGTCATGTGAAAAGCTAGTTCTAAGGAAACTTGCTATGCTAGAGAGTATATGGCTACTTAATTTAGTTTGTCAGCTCTTTTTTTTAAAAAAAATAGGGTATATGCAAGTTAACTTTTAAAATATTAAGGATAAGAAATAATCTTTTTTATTTTCCATTTCTTCCCTAGAGTCCTTGGAAATTATATCCACAGCTGCAAGTCACTCTAATAGTGCCATTCGGAAAATGGTGAGTAACTTATTTGGCATTTTCTGTTTGCAGAATCTGCATTTTAGTTATTATTATAGGCAGTCTTCAACTTACAACCACAACTGAGCCCATTGCTAAGCAAGACAATTGTTAAGTGAGTTTTGCCCCATTTTACGATCTTTCTTCCCACACTTGTTAAGTGAACCACTTCACTTGTTAAATTAGTAACACCGTTACTATTGTTAAGTGAATCTGGCTTTCCCATTGACTTTGCTTGTCTGAAAATTGCAAAGGGGATCACATGTCCCCAGAATACGGCGATCGTCATAAATAACATGTCAATAGCCCAGCGTCTGAATTTTTATCATGTGTCCATGGAGGTGCTGCAACTGTTGTATGTGTGAAACAACCATAAGCAGTGCTTTTTTTTGTAAAAAAAAAAAAAAAAGTGCCCAAACTCACACATGTCATACAACCCGCCTTGCCTACCCTACAAGATTTACCTTTGTAGTTGAAAAAAAAAACCCTTCAATTTTTAGTGTATCTAAAAGACTAGGATTTTATTCAAGTTAAGTTAATACTATTAATGTTACCATGCACTGGGTGGCTTTAAATTACAAGAAGGCATTTTATTAATCTTTTGGGATATTTACCACTGGGATACCCATTTAGTTTAATGAGTGGAAATGTCAGCTTTCTATGTGGAATGAAATTGGCCCAATAAAACAAAATTTGGTTGCTTGTAATAGATTGAATTATTTTTAAGAAGTTGTCAAACAAGGTGGAAAAATTTACATTTGGAGTTTAATATGGATATTGACTTGAAACAAATTAAAGTTGAAACTTTGTCAATGAACAGATTACTTTTAATTTACCTTTAAGTTAAACCAATTTAATAAATAGATCGGATTAAACCTCATATTGTAGGTCTACCTTTACATCTGACCAATACATAATTAATATCTATTATTATTATTAATAATACCTCCAAATCACAAGACATTGGCTTTATTCTTATTCTTTCCCTCTGCAGTTTGAATATAAAGTATAAAAAACTAAAAAGAGATTTTTATAGACATCCCAGCCTTTGAACTACCCAAGGAATCAAAACAGCAAAGTTTCGCTATTGGGCAAACTTCCACGTCAGTCGCCTTTCTTTCCTCTGGCTTCGCCTCTTTTTAACCTCACACCCTACCTTTTATAAGGGAAGGCAAAAGACTCACTCATCCTCTCGTGAAAGATGGCCTCCATGTTTATGTGTCTCCCACTGCCACTATCGGCTGATCTGACCCAGCCAATCAAGCCACACTGTGGCTGTTGTGCTCCAGCGCCTCATGGCTCCTCCTAGAGGAGGCAGACAGCACCGGAGGGGACCCCGCTTGCACCGTACCGCCAGCGGGGTATTTTCAAAAACAAACAAGGATAGGAAGGGAAACAATAGGAAAAGAACACAACTCTGGAAAATCCATCGAAAAAAGGTGCCGGAACTCTGTTCCGGTGCATTCTATGACAAAAAAAGCCCTGGTCATAAGTCTCCTTTTTCAATGCCATTGTAACTTCAAATGGTCACTAAACAAATGGTTGTAAGTCGAAGACTACCTGTATTTAAATCTTATGGATAACTATCAATTTTATGGATTCTTAAGTGAGAAGTACTATTTTTATTAAAATATTACATTCATTTTCCCAAAAGTTCCTACACTACCAGAAGGGCAATTAAAGCAGTTGCCATTTATTTTGGCAAGTACACCTGCTCCTGATTTTGTCGTACATGATTTCCCCCAAAGGAACTGCATCTTTGCACAATTCTTAGAACACTTTTCTTGTTTTTGTACATGACCAATATTTTGGCTTTTCCAGTCTTGAGGAAACGAGATGTTCTTTGGCCTTGGCTGAAATTTCAGGAGAAAATTATAGAACTGCTATATGTGAACTGTGCAATATATCTGATGAAACATCTTTTTTTTAATGTGTTACCTTTATAGAATACGTTTGTGAGTTTCTAAATCTATCTATATAAATCTTTAAAGTAAATAAATGAACTCTTTGTTTCATCCTCTTCATAACCCATGAGGCTATTGGTGTAGAAGAGTGAGCAGAGCTGGGGGGGTGGATTTAAACATGTCATCAGCTTAGAGTCCTTACATTGTCACAAATAATCCAAGTCCATCCTGTCTTGAATTCCATTGATCCTTATCTGATGCCAATTTAATATTGAACTTTAGATTAATAGATTCTTGTGTATAGGCTTAAATAAGTTTTTTTTGTGCCATAATTTAATGAATGGTCCTAATCATTAATTTAGAACAGAACAGAATAGAACTGGAAGGGACCTTGGAGGTCTTCTAGTCCAGCCCCCTGCTCAAGCAGGAGAACCTATACCATCTCAGACAAGTGACTGTCTAGTCTCTTCTTAAAAATCTCCAGTGATGGAGTGCCCACGATTTCTGTTCCACTGGTTAATTGTCCTAGCAATTCTGGAACTTCTGTTAAACACCAAATAGAATTATCCTGAGATACATCTCACCCAAGCCTCAGGAAAAATTTGGGTGCACACTAGTATTTTTTTATTCTTTTCAGTGAATGAACATAATACTTCAATATTTTACTGCTATTTTTAAAATATATGTATTGACTAATGGAACTCTCTCACCAGGAAGGTCATTTAAAAATGTGACACTGCCCAGGGTCAACTGTTTTGCTACAGAAATGTTTTATGTATAAAAACAAGGCTATAATTTAATTTTTAAAACCAATGCTTTCTGTCTTTTGCAATTTTCATAAAAAAGTTGCAAGGAACTCACATCAATTTTGTCATTTGTTTTATTTTGATGAAAAAGGAAAATTTGAAGAAGTTACTAGAAGTGTATGAAATGTTAGGGGAAGAAGAAGATATTGTCAACCCTTCAAATGAACTGATAAAAGAAGGGCAAATACTTAAGCTTGCTGCTCGTAACACATCAGCTCAAGAAAGATATCTCTTCTTAGTAAGTATTTTCCTCTGACTACCATTTCAAATGTCTTTAACAATGGATTTTTATCTTTGTGCAGGTGAAGGGGAAGTGCTATTTCAGTGCTGTGTTTTTTTCCTACAAGGAAAGATTTCCAAATTGACTTTCTGTAGTTCTCTTTCTAGTATAGTGTTCCTAATTGTTCTTAACATAACTTTTGAAGCAGTGCTAAATATGAACATGCCTTCCTCTTAAACAGCCTTATAATTTACTTCAGACAGGACCAGGAACCATGGTTAATTCTAACTAGAACTAATGTTGATGCAAATAAAGGGCTGAAACATAATTAAATGATAAGGGGCGCTTATGTATACTGAGAAAGGAAACTTCCCAGTTTGCAGGTGGAAGTTTACAAAAAAGCAATGTGGAGTGGGGAGGAGATGACAGGTGGTAATAAATTCAAATAAATAAATACTAGATTATAGATTAATAAAAGGATTCTTATGAAATTGTCTACCAGGCTACCTTCTCTTAATCCCATGTCCCCTATTTTTGAATGGATAAGTAATGAATGGTGTATTTAACTAGTACATCTTGGTGCTGTAGGAGGAAGAGTGGCAGAATCTGGGGGCAGAGTTAAAAGAGGAATCAGCCTAGAATCCCTACATAGCCACAAGCAGACTAAGTCCAATCCCCCCTTAAATCCCATGGACTTTTCTCTAACTAGAAGCAGGTACTACCTGTTAGTTGAGAAGATTCCTGTGCATTGGCATGTGAAGCAATAAATTAATTTAATTGGACTTTCATGTGTGGACCCATGCCTGACATGTGCCTACTGAAAACACTTAAATGCCTTCTGTTAGTTTCAAAACTATTTTTCTAACTATTTTTTTCTCTCTTTTGTGAAGAGGGAATTAAATTTCTATACTTGTATTCCAGCCTTCTTCCTAAAAGTCATGTTTATATTTAAGGCCAGATTTAACTCAAAGTCAGTTAAGTTCTAAAAGAAGTTTGTGTAACACAGATGTGGCTAAAATCCTTAGAACAATCTTCACAATCCTTTTCTGTACTTAAAAGTATTCCCAGAAAATAATTCACACTCTCTACACTCAAAATCAGCTTCCAGGCAAGCTGTACTTTCAAAACCAAAGAACTTTTTTTTTTTAAAGTAAACATTAAACAAAATAAAAATGGCTTCACTACTTTAATCCTTTATGAAACGCGTACTTATTTTGCACAATGGCAAATGTAACATTTCTCTCAGGTTATACTATATTGTATGTTGAAAGAGTGAATATCCTGGGAAGATTGTAGCAAAGTTAGTTATGCTAACCACTTATTAATTAATATCTTTCTTATTTTTCTTTCACTAAGACACAACTTTCACATTGGAAAGTTAATGCTTTTTGTTCAATATAATCCACTTAATATAATTGTGGACACTAATGTCTTTTGGTATATTGTTGTTGTTGTTTTTTTCAGTTCAATAACATGTTGCTGTACTGTGTACCAAAATTCAGCTTAGTGGGATCTAAGTTTACAGTCCGGACAAGAGTAGGCATTGATGGTATGAAGATTGTAGAAACCCACAATGAAGAATACCCACACACTTTCCAAGTGTCTGGGAAAGAACGAACTTTAGAGTTGCAGGCCAGGTAAGAAGTGAGTTTAAGATTGTTACTATGAAACATAGTCACATGAAAGTAAAAGTTTAGAGTCCTAGAGCAGAGATATTGAAAACTGGTATATATCTGGCTTGTGTTTGGAAAGCAGTGGTTCTTTTCATTCTTCTTAGTGAAATTCAAAATGTGTGATTGAAAGGACATGATGGGTTTTAGGTCAGCATTTTCAAACTTGGCAACTTTAAAATGTGTGGACTTCAACTCCCAGAATTCCTCAGCCAGCATGCTGGTAGCTTTCCCCAGCTGATTTTTTGTTGACTTTTGACCTTTCCCCTAATCCCGCCAGGTCAGTTAGATTCCTGTAGCCCTTGACTTAAAACCATTTGTTTAATGATCATTTGAATTTACTTATAACTCTAAAAAAAGTGACTTATAACTGTTTTTCACACTTACAACTGTTGTAACATCTGCATGGTCACATGATCAAAATTTGGGCACTTGGGGGGTCATGTGATCACCATTTATAACCTTCCCATTCAAGCAAAGTCAAAGGAGGAAGCTAAATTCACTTGATGACTATAATTCACTTAATAACTGCAGCGATTCACTTAACAGTCGTTAAAATGGTCGTAAAATGGGGCAAAACCCATTTAACAATTGCCTTGCTTAACAACAGAAATGTTGGGTTTAATTGCTGTCATAGGTTGAGTAGAACCTGATCTCCAGTTTCAATGGAAATGTTGAGCAGAAGGTATCAAGTTGCTTGAAAGTATATCTGGCCTGAAGAGATCCAAGAATAACCTATATTAAAATTACAAAAATCACTTGGAACATTTCACTATTGAAACCAAATAAGTCCTTAGATTGAAGAAATATATTAGATATACTTAACACTGTTAACTGAATTCTGTTTATATTAAATACTGTGGAATAATAGTTAATTGTCATGTTTGTTTATTTATAATTAGTGGATTGCAGGACGCTCTATGTCTCTATGACATGAAGAGTTTCTTTAGGGTCCTTTCCATAGTACACAATCTCTTCTGTTTTTTTAATGAGCATAAATAAAAAGGCTAGATAAATGTTTGTAATACCAGCTACATCTTCCTTCTTATGTTATTGAGTACATGTCTTATACTGATAAACAGTAATCTTCATCCCCATAAAAATTGCATTAGTTTGCCCTAAGGATTTTCTTTACCAGAAGAATTTGTCTTTGTTTGATTCCACAAGAGTGCAAATTGATGCTTGTGGTTATAAGGTGCATTTTGTTATAGAGATGATTGCTTCCTGTTGATCTCATAGAGCCATTACTGCAACCCTGTGAGAAACAGAACTTAATGTTTGATTAGATCAATTTATACAGTCTCTGTCTGTATCTCTAAGACTTAAATGCCTAGAGTATTATCTTATTAAACCTCTCATGTTCTAGTAGTTGACACAGATGATAAGATTTATTTTTACCATGCAGCTACACAGTCTGGAGTCATGGAACAGAACCATTGGTCTGTTTAGTTATTCTGTTATTCTGATTCCATGAAAGTGAAAGCAAGTCACAGCCTTTGATGTTCTTAGGGAAAATATGATGTCCCATAGGCATTCCTATAATCATAGGTATCTCTTTGATTATATGCTTATTTGAAGGCAAAACCATTATTTGGCAGTAGCAGGTGCAATCTGGGTGCAACTCTTTAAAGCAGCGATCATGTGCAACTATTGCTCTGTTTGGATCCTTGCATATTCCGAACATCTTTTTGCTTTCAAATCTGCACAGCCCTAGCAAAAAATTCTTTATTTCTGCAAACAGAAAGCATCAGAGCACTGATTTTTAGGCAGTACTATATTATATTAAGTCACCTGTAGTGGAACTGTTAATGTATCACTACAGAAGACTTAGATACTATGAAAGCAATCACTTGCGCCCAAGCTTGCCTACACTTAGAGAGGGGACAGGAATGGAAAAGAAACTGCTAAGTGGCTTTTATGTAAATGACCTGTTGATGAGAATTATGGAACTTCTCTTTTTTTATATACATAGTGACAAAGTTCACTTCTCAGTACAATTCAGATCAATAGCTACAACTTTAAATGACTTTATTTCTGGAAAGTGGAAGCAAAGATCAGAGATGGGAGAAATCCAGCCTTGAATTAACCAGAACAATTTGCTAAGTCTAAGTGGAATTTGCATCCACACATGCAGAGTGCTTTAGAGCAGGGGTCGCCAATCCCCAGTCCATGGACCGGTAATGGTCCCTGGTGTGCCAGAACCCGGGCCATGCAAACAAGTAAAGACCCCTCTATGGGATCCCGGCAACACGTGAAACCACACACCCTCTGGTCCATGGAAAAACCTCTCTCCACAGAACTGATCCCTAGTTCCCAAAAGGTTGGGGGACACTGCATTAGAGACATTATTCTGGTATACATACATGTGAAATATCATTCTGAGCTCATTTCAGATGTCATACTTCAACAAAGGTTTAATCATGCACAGTTGAAAGGCATCAGTTTTTGAATCCAGCATCCCAGTTCTCTTTTTTCTTGCAATTAGATATTTTTGATGTTTTCAATAAGTACCTTTTTATATGCTTCAGCATTTGTATGCCTTGCCATGTAAAATGGCTTTAGCTTATTAACAATTTCTGAACATGCTTTTAACCATTATCTCCAACTGTGTTCTTTAGCTCTGAGCAAGACAAAGAAGAATGGATAAAGGTAAATACACCTGACTTGTTATATCCAAATATGCAATAAATGTGCTAAGATTGACGCTTTATATGCAATTAGGTAATATGGCTATTCCTCTACTGTTGTTGTCATGATTCTTTTGAAATTAAACATCCAATGTTTGTTGAGTTAAAAAGTTAGTTACTGGAATCAAGCATGTATCTATCTCTAGTATTCATTTTGGTCTGACATTTAATCGTTTACTCTTCTGTTATGTTAAATTTGATATTCTTTCTCCATTTCATTGATTCCAGACTCTTCAGAGTACTATAGATGCTTTTCAGCAAAGAAATGAAACATTCAGAAATGCAATTGCAAAAGAATACGATGACATGCCTATTGAAGTTTCTGTAAGTTGAGTGTAACTTTTGGATTGTGTATACTCCTGTCTGCTCATATTAATTCAAAAGTCCATATCAGAAAAAAATGAAAATCAGTCATGAAACAGATTAGTTTGTCATTAGAATGACCTTTCACGTCATGTAAACGCTCATATGGGCCTATTTTTATTCACTGTATTGTAATGTATCGATATGGATAGACCTGTACAGAGATGTCTGTTCAGGAGATGGTCTGATTTGCCAAAAGAAAGAGAAGAAGGGTGTGGATGGAAGCAGGAATAATAGGAGAGAGAAAAGATAATAGTGTGAGTCAAATTCAGCATGGCAAAGTGGTATCTGTCATCTACATGGCAAAGGTATTTATATATCATTTCAATTTATGAGGCTGCACCAACTTCAGACTCACTTGAAGATTTATTGTATCTACCAAATTATTCTATGATGTAAAAGTCAAGACTGAGAGAACAGACAAGCATATATGGTGCTGACAGTCTTCTGTAAACAGCCACAACTATGTTATAAATCTTTCATTCCAATTACTGTTCATTCATGATAAGAGTTATAAGAGTTTTGTTTTGTCTTTTAAAAACTCTGTGTGATTTCCTGCTCAACATTTCTCACTCCTTTTTCTATTGCACATTTTAAAAAAAAAACTAAGTCAACGGATTGTACATAATATTGGGAAAAGAAGCATTTCTTTAGAAAACAATGAAAGAGTTCCAAAGGGAGACATAAAAAAAATGCAAGAGAGATACATACTGTGATAATTGCACTTTATTCTTTATTCAGTCAACAAACAAAACATAACTAACATTTAAATTTAGATTCCATTTCTAATTATCGCACAACATAGCTGTCTTTTTGGTTAATCCATTTGTTCTGATCTCTACAGAAATTCTCTTCATCCCTCTTTTTGCATATATAAAGAGTGCTGTGCTCATTTGAACATCTTTTCCTGGTTTAAGGTCTACTGTAGTTAATGGGATTGAAGCCCAGCTGCCATGAAAGTTAGGATCCAAGTATCTATGTCTCTTTTCTTTTCCCATAATTGCTATTAGAATTTATTTATGTATGGCTATTTTAATCTTTGGCATTCCCTGCCTTTTCCTACATCACTGGATTTGGTTACTGCTGTCAAGGGAAAATGCAAAGCATCAAACTAATCTTGAATATCTTTCAATCCTAAATATGCAGCTGTTGTTTATGGTAGCATCCACATCTGTTATTTACTTTTAAGATTAGCCTGTCATTCCACTGAATTTTCAGACAGAAAGTTAATTACCTTTTCTTCTAATAATGTTCCACAATTTATTTTTTTTCCCTCCTCTGAGACTGCTGAGCTCGGGAAGAGAGCCCCAAGATGGATCCGAGACAATGAAGTGACTATGTGTATGAAATGCAAAGAGCCATTTAATGCACTAACAAGGAGGAGACATCATTGCCGAGCTTGTGGGCATGTAAGCACAAAGCCACATCTGCTGGTTAACAGTTGCTGAAGCTGCCAAAAACTTGTTCAGAAACTCCATCTGGTGATTGCTTTTAAATGCTGTTTTGTTTCAGCTGACACTTGCTGTGGCAGGAAGTCAGAATCTGTGAACCACTTGTGAACCAAATCTGCGCCCCCTTATGGCCAATGCAGGAAATTTTTCTGTAAATGGTTCCTTTTGACATTTTATTAACTTAAAGCAGGGGTCTTCAAACTTGGCCCTTTTATGACTTGTGGACTTCAACTCCCAGAATTCCTCAGCCAGCGTGCCTGGCTAAGGAATTCTGGGAGTTGAAGTCCACAAGTCATAAAAGGGCCAAGTTTGAAGATCCCTGACTTAAAGTATTTTAATAAAATGTTTTATTAACTTGATAGTTAAAATAAGCACAACTGATTTCATTTTACTTCCTTGCTGGTGTCCTCCGTCTGATCTCTATTCTGAACTGTCATAAGCTATTTGATCCTCCAACTGATCATCTTCAGCTGGTTTCAAGTTATCTTTGGAAATTTTCTTTTTCAGAGTACCAATTTTAATCTCTAGTTGGAAGAATTTTATTTCTGTGATATTTTTAATTGGATAATTCATAGATGTTAAATTATACATTCATATTTTTGTACATCACATTTACTGGTACACGTATTGACTGTCCAAGTCTAGTGATACTTTGGTGAACACAGAAACAAACTTTTGATTCCTGAATTAACCATGATACTGATGTTCATGATATAGTTTACAGCTTTTTCTCAACTGAAAGTTAAGGTCAATATTATCCTTACCTTCTTTTGCTGCTCTTTAATTATGTTTGTCTTTGAGAGGTGGTGCTAAGTGCCTGAACAGTCCTGTTTTAGAACACTGGATGGAGTTCATGTTTGATTGCTATCATTGTAGAATAAATTAATCCTTTAGTAAAAATCTCACCGTGGCAAATGGTGTTTGGAACTAATGTTTGGAAGCAAACTAATGTTCCAAAGTAACTCAGTTTTTCCTTTTTTTTTTTCTTAAGGTGGTTTGCTGGAAATGTTCTGATTATAAAGCTCATCTTGAGTATGATGGCAATAAACTGAACAAAGTCTGTAAAGATTGCTACCACATTATAACAGGGTGCACTGATAGTGAAGAAAAGAAAAAAAGAGGAATCTTGGAGGTATGAAATTTAAAGGATTAAAATATGTTGGGTTTTGTTTAATGCTTATTTACATTGCTTTGTATCTTTGTTGCCTACCCCCATTTTATGAACTTAAAATGTTTTAATAAAATGTTTTATTAACTTAAAAGTAATAAGACCACACTTACTGCATCCAGTTTTGGTCACCATATTATAAAAAAGATGCAGAGACTCTGGAAAGAATGCAGAAAAAGGGGGCTGTTAACCAGTGGAACAGCTTGCCTTCAAAAGAGGCTTTTAAGAAGAGACTGGACAGCCACTTGTCTGAAATGGTACAGGGTCTCCTGCCTGAGCAGAGGGTTGGACTAGATGACCTTCAAGGTCCCTTCCAACTCTGTTATTCTGTTAAAATGGCATTGATAATTCTCATAATTACTTAAAATAGCATGCAGTCAGGAAGCCATTCATGAGAACTAACTAGCCAAAGGCTAAATTTATGTTTGCATGCAGAAAATTGCATGTGACTCATTCCTTGGGTGCCAAAAAACCATTTTAAAATATGCTGCCTCTGATGACATCCATGAAATCAGCCTAGCTAATTTGGTTGGTCACACTGGCTGTGCTGAGTTGCAAATTGTAATTTAGCACTGTATGCAGAGATACAAAGCTTTCACCTCAACCATGAGTCTTCACATTTTGAAAATGATAGTGTTCCTTGGATTTCCGTTGGACACAGTTTTGACTGCTAAAGGTAGAGAAGAGGGAGAAGGAAAAGTGACAGAATTTAGCCGAGATGGGCAGACTTTACTAAAGCAAATCCATCCTTCCAAAATTGCAAATAAGCTTATAAATTGCAATTCAGCAGAAGTTTCCAGTGCTGCTGGTTCTATCAGCTATTTTTAAAAGCTCATTATTGCTTCTTTAATATCCAAGGATTATTTTGGTGCAACAAACCCACACCAACTGCTCTTTAGAGGCAAACATACTCAACCATAGTTTTTTACTTTGTAAAAAACTTGACAATGCTACTTTCAAGAAGGACTTCAGAAGAAGCCAGAGGGAAGACAAAGCCTTTTGTTATAAGCTACTTTATGAGTTTCTTTTTTGATTTCTTCTAAATGGCACTTTGAGTTAAATGAAGAAAATGCTCCCTGGAATTGATTGATTATTAAATATTTTTTAAAAGGTCAGCAATTCTTCCATTTTCATTCTATTTCCACAAGATTACATTGCTTCCATGTCATGTTTCTTTGATGAATAGTTGAAATACCAAGCCACCAGCAGGGCTTAAGTCATTTTTGTGACTTAATTTGCTATGGCATACTCCATTGAATCCTCCAGGGAAAGATTGAAGGCAAACGAGGTCCAGGCAAAAGAAGAACATTGTGGCTTCAAAATCTAAGGGATTGGTTTAGACAAAACTCAGCAGCACTTTTTTGTGCAGCTGCTGATAAAAACAGGATCACCAACATGATCGTCAATGTCCGATAACGGATATGGCACAAGAAGAAGAAGAAGAAGAATTTGCTATGATTTTATTCCTTACCAATTATTGTCTGATGAATTATGAACAATTATTATGATCTTTTTAGAATTCCTTAACCACCTTCCTTTTATCTCTACAGATTGAATCAGCAGAAGTGTCAGGGAATAGTGTGATATGTAGTTTTCTACAGTATTTGGAAAAATCGAAAACATGGCAAAAGGCTTGGTGTGTGATACCTAAACATGAAGCCCTTGTTTTATATATGTATGGCGCTCCACAGGTATGTATGTAAAAGGAATGGAAGCCAGACCATAGCAAAGTTTCTTCCTCTCCTTAGGGAACATGATATCATGCTTACTGTATCTTGCATTTACAATTCTGCAACTGTAATTCCTACTCTTTCTGAATTGTATTCTTCCCCCACTGTATGTAAAAGAAGAGTTTACACAATAACAATCAAAATTGGCTATGACAACAGTGTATCTCATCTTCTGTAGCTGTAGTCCTCAATTTACAACTATTTGTTTAGTGACCGTTCAAATTTACAACAGCACTGAAAAAAGTGACTTATGACCATTTTCCACACTTAGAACCATTTCAGCATCCCCTTGGTCGTGTGATCAAAATTTGATTCATATTTATGACGGTTGCAGTGTCCTGGGGTCATGTGATCCCCTTTTGCAACCTTTTGACAAGGAAAGACAATGGGGAAGCCAAATTCACTTAACAACCGTGTTACTAATTCAACGACTGCATTGATTCACTCAAGTGTGGCAAGAAAGGTCATAAAATGGGGTCAAGACTCACTTAACAACTGTCTCACTTAGCAACAGAATTTTGGGATGAATTGTGGCTGTAAGTCAAGGACTACCTGTATCAGGTCTGGGGTTTATAAATCTGGGGAGCATCTAATGGCAGCAGTAGCTTAGATTTTTTTAGGACTTCTTAGCTGCTAACTTGTGGTCATCTGGATTTTTGCACTTCAGTGTGGTAGCCATAGGTGATGAAAGGGTAGGGAGGAAAGAGATCTGATCCCCTGATGACCTAGGACAGTGGTTCTCAACCTGTGGGTCGGGACCCCATTTGAGGTTGAACGACCATTTCACAGGGGTCGCCAAACAACGTAGTCCGCCATTTTTTCCCCTTTTTCCTTAGCTATGCTACTCCCTTTCATTCTATTGGCTTTTGAAAGCCAATAGAATAGTCTCTCTTGAATAGAGTCTAATTCTATTGGTTTTCAAAAGCCAATAGGAATTGTCCAGACTGTCTCTGCCCTGCTGAGCCCGCCAAAAGTCCCATTCTGCAAACGGTGCTGCACCAGTTGAGTAGTCCTCAACTTACGACCGGTTGAGTAGTTCTTGACTTACGACCGGTTGGGGGGTCGCGGCAATAAAATGGTTGAGAACCACTGACCTAGGAGGTGGTTTTCTCCAGTTTTGCATTTTTTTTCTTCCTGTGGTTGCACGTTTGATCTATAAAGTTTAATCTTATTAGGAATGAGAACTTTTTGTTCCCCTGTCACTGGTTTTCTCCTGTTGGAAATCTAATATCCTCTGTAGCACAACCTCTATAACAGGGGTCCCCAACCCCCGGTCCGTGGACCAGTACCAGGCCGCGGCATGCCAGCAACTGGTCCGCACAAACAAGGAAAGCCCATCCGCGGGATGTAGGCAGCACACAAAACCACACACTCTCTGATCCCTGGAAAAACCTCTCTCCATGGAACCGGTCCCTGGTGCCCAAAAGGTTGGGGACCTCTGCTCTATAATAAATTAAGAAGCTTCTTTTTGGTGACTCCTATCAAATGTTGCCTTTTTAAAGTGACTTCATTTCTGTTTACATAGGATGTCAAAGCCTTGGCTACTATTCCACTTTTGGGCTACACAGTAGATGACACCCCAAGAAGTGCTGACCTCCCTCACAGTTTCAAATTGACTCAGTCTAAGTCTGTGCACAGTTTTGCAGCAGATAATGAAGAGCTGAAACAGAAGTGGTTGAAAATCATCTATATGGCTGTTAAAGGTGAAACACCAGATTGCTGCAATGATTCACAAATCAGTTTGGAGGATCAGCATGAAAGCACTGCAAAACTGGAATCCGCCAATGGTCTGTAAAACTGTATTTCTCCCATTCATATTGGGGTTGACACTACTTCCTAAAACAAATTTGAAAATACGCCAGCCTTTCTGCCATGGTTCTTAGCACTTTATGTTGGAAAAGAACAAAAAAGTCCATATCATTTTAGACGAATTGTCCTTATGTTTATGTTATGTCAATAAAATTAATGTACAGAAGCATTCCACATTTTCTTTTTATTCAATTAATGTCTTAGCCAAAAAGTCATCAATATTACCCTAATGCTGTTATTTCCAAGATTGTTATCATACAACATAATACTGTTAGGGATGATACAGCTTTTTCATAATGAAGTTGATCACTTGGTAATTTTCTATGAATCATACATGTGTGTTTTTAGATATACCTCCACATTGCCAAATAGATGTGTAGTGAAATTTAAAGTTAGATTAGCTTATTGTATTTAAATTCTCGCACTATTTACACTAATGTGTATATAAAAACTATACGTTTTTGTTTGTGAACCAAACAATATTCAGAGTATCTAAACATTTCAAACGATCTATTTAAAAAATTAATTCTTTCCTGTTAAAACTTTTTTATTGAACAATAAGAACATTATATACTGTTTGCAGGGTATGTTTTTACAGGAAAATGTACTATAATCAATTTTGATTTATCTTCATGATACTAAATTTATGCTTGCCTATGATTTTTAAAAATGAAGCATGCATCCTCTAGAATTTAAGCAAAAAATTCTACATTTAAGAGACAATTGGTGGTTTGTTTATATAGAATAATATTGGTATTTTTATACATTAATACAGAACTGGAAAAAGTAGTAAAGGCATGTACTGGATGTATAGATTCTAGCTTTGATTTGAAAAGCGTAACTTCTCAGTTCTGTTACCTTTGGAAAGTGGTCCTACATTTCTAAAATTATAAATGCTTTAGTAATTATCAGCTTAATCTTAAACAATGTCTTGTGATATCTCTTTTCCCTTTATATTAGAATATAATACAGAGATCTAAATATTATGAATCAGTTCAGACTTTGCACCAAATCATGATTAAAGAAAATTAAATATATGTTGAGTTCATACATTACACTAAGCCATAAAGTAGCTTGTTTGGCTTACGTGATATGTAAAGCCAACTGTAAACCATGATTTATGGCTTAAGATTATGTGTGAACAGGGTTATTTACTCAAGAAACTATGATTAAAACTAACCATATGTTAACAGTTACAGTCTTAACATGATGCCCAAATGGAGAAATTTGTTTGCAGCTGACCAGCAAAGATTCAGTCAAATCATGCTTTGTGCAACGAAAGGTCTCACTTGACATTTTAAATTAACAAATCATAATTAAACCATTAGTCTTCATTCAAAGACTAGTGTGTTGAAGAATTGATGAATATGCATCTTTATGTTTTATACCTGCATCAGTGGCATGGGTTCTAGTATAATTAACAACATCTTATGTGATAAGATATTTGAACTGACCACTTATAACTCCTCATGAAACTATACACATGTTGCCGCAGTTAATGTCACTGCCTGTGTGTCCCAAAACCATGAACATGGGAAGCAGATTGATTAATATCCGCCACACTTACTATGCACGGTCATGCATTTTGTAGCATAACAGAACATGATTTTAAAGTTGTGCGAAAAGTATACATTTCTGTAAAACTGGGAAATGTGTGTTTATACTTTCCTTTAAAAACTTTCTTAAAGAAGTACAATCTTATGCTGGAATTTCCCATTTCTTTTTGCACTTTCCTGTAAGTGTGCTTTTTTCAGATCAACTGAATGTTGATCGACTGGTTGAGACAAGAATTGACTAACCAGCTTGTCTCCTGAGCCTCATATTTTGAGTTGAAAGAGAGTAAGTGGCCCGAAGTCACCCAGCCAACTTTCATGGCTAAGGCGGGACTAGAACTCACAGTTTTCTGGTTTCTAGCCTTGTGCCTTATATTCAGTAGACCAAACTGACTCTCACATCTTATGCTGTATCTTATACTTTTTGTTTGGGAGTTAGCTTTATTTAATTCAGTTGGAATTACTTTCTAAGTAAAGATGCATAGAATTGTACTGCTGATTAAGCTAATATATAATAATGTTATTATTATATGTTACTAATAGTTCAGAACATTTATCTTTCATTGCCGGAGTGGTATGCATGCAACAATCATAAGCCAGTACTGTGGGGAGTTAAAACTACAGGTTAAACATCCACTGTCTAGCTGGAAAAAGACATAATTAGTTGAAATTTTCTACATTTTTAAATAAGTAATATTACATAGGAAAATTACGATCAAAAATTTTATATGAAGATGTATTTCTACATTCCATTTAATTGTTCGATTCCTTTTGCTAAGCAGTTAGTGTGTAAGGTACCATAATAGCTATAACATAGGTGTGGAAAGCCATTCAGCATCTTCTCCAGCATCTTCAGATTACAACCAGTCAAATTTTGAAATCTGGTGGCCCAGATGCTGATTGGTAACAATGCTGTTCCTTTCTCCCACAAACAGTTTGGGAAAACAAAAGGCACAAAGTGGATACAAACTTTAAACTATTCTCTTTATCCTTTAACTTAAATCTAATTTGAGTCAAACACAACTTGTGGTGATCTTAAACTGTTGCTAGCAAAACTTTAGATGATCATGTCTGTAAATTGCCATTTTTCAATTTTTCTTGAGGCTAATTTATAGCTTCTGTTTATTACTTGGGGGTTTTCCAAGTACTCTTAGCTTCTAAGGCCAAGCAAGGTCAGCCAAATGCTTAATCCCTCTCTCTAAAAGTAGTCTAAAAATGTCTCCTTAGGGTCATGTTATATCCTTGTAGATAGGATTTGCTCTAATATGACGCTTGCTCTAATAAATAAAAACAGGGTTTGCTTTAATGTAGATTAAAGGTAAAATTAAATGTAGAATTCAAGCATATATCACAGGATTCTCCCTCTGCCAGGGCCTATCTTTCTACGTGTGGTATATAATTATTAAACTATTTCACTGTTTGTTAAATTTAAATTTACTGATAAAGAATTAAAGGGAGACTAGTATAGGATTTGATGATCCTTGGTTTTACAATATGCCCAATACCAGAGCTGAGAGATTTTGCAGGTCTGGGACAATCACATAAAAGTTAGTTTTTTAGTGAAGCTAGTGGTTTATATTCAGTTTCTAGTTTGCATGGTTTAGAAATGTTGAAAATATAATCAAACCTTAAGCAAATGACAGAAAGAAAATTACATTTCAACTCTTACAACTTCTGAGCCTTTGGGGATTGTCCAAAGTTTTGAGTTCATCGTAATTTTCCTGTTGCCTCTGAATGGAATTGTCCACCACACATTAATTCAAATGTGCAAGGACATTCAGAACTTCGTATCTTCTAAAGAATATTCATCAATGTTAATGTTGCTTATTAAGATAAAATTGGTTTCCCAACAGATAATATGTTGACCCAGTGTCTATGAGGATTCTCAATCATCCAGGTCATGGTTGCCCCAAAGGTAACTGGTTTTTTTTGGTTTTTCCTTGAAAACATCTTGCTTCTCATCCAAGAAGCATCATCATTTCTGAAGAATGGATGAGAAATGAAACATTTTCAAAGAAAAACCAAGAAAGTCCAGTTGTCTTTTGAAAAGCACCTTTGGGACATGTTGACCCCAATATGCTTTTCTTCTGCAAAGAAAGTTTTTTTAATATATGACTTAACATTTACAGTTATTTGACAATGGGTTTTATACAGAGCAAAATGTTCACTTACATATATAAATATTCTTTGTTGTAAAATAAAGAGTTAATCATTGGTAACCCTTTGCAAACTAGCTATGTATTCCCCCTTGCTTTGAAATATTTTCTTGATAGAAAATGTGTAAAACACAAAGCAATTCTATCATGAGTTAAGTGCAAATGTTAAAAAGATCTCAATTACAAAGCTAGTGGCTGTCATTGTTTGAACTCAATCTGTTATTTGCATGTAGCAACTTCATTCTATATGTACTTATCTCAGAAAATCAACCTGGAGGGTGAACTTTGGGCTTCTAGTTATCGTTCAGGAAATAGTGTATCCTGCCTTTTGGGAATCATATTTGAAAGCAGGCTTTCTTATATTATATTAAGATAAATAATCTTTTAGAATTCACATTGATCTCAGTTATGCAGCATACTACCTCATATGGGCTCCATTTGAACCCTTGAGGAGTGGATAAGGGAGAGATTTCCTTTAACCTCCCCCTCACAGATTAATAATAAAAAGCACATGATTAGCACTTAGGAGAGAGTAAAGACTGTGTAGGCTTCAAAAATGATGTACAAGAAGTGCTTCAGAACTCAGATGGGACAGTGGTGTCTTGATATTACTAAAAAAATACCCCAACTTTTTTCAAGCTTCTCATGAGCTTGAAAAAGATGTGCTGCTGCTTTAAGAGTCTCCTTAGCCTTAACCATGCTGGCTAGGGAATTCTGGGAGTTGAAGTCCACATAACTTCAAATTTCTAAAGTTGAGGTACACCTTAAGGCAGGGGTGTCAAACTGCCAGCCCATTGGCTGGTTGCATCATACAAAGGCCGTGCCCACCCCAGCTCCGGATTCCTTAAAGGAGCACCACCCTTTTTTTTTTATGTTCAGGGTGAATGCTGTAAAGTCAGTCTATTTTAATCAGAAGCTGAGAAATAGTGCATTTCTTCAAAATAATTTTCAAAGCGTGCATTGCCCTAATAGAGAGCACTTTCAGGATGTTGCGCCTCCTAAGCACACTCTCATAGAAAAAAGTTCGAAATAAATCAATGAGATGTATAGTACTTGAATGTTATTACAATGTGATTGAAGTTGTTAGATTCTAATGTAAAGCACAACTAATGGTGATTTGAAATGAAGATAAGATAAACCTATAATCTAATTTTTGTAGTTTAATCTGACTCCAAAATCTTTTCAATTGTGTTTTTCCATCGGAAGTATTTGGAAAGATATGAAGAGAGATAATATTGATATTACAAACTAATTGTACAATCCCTTCCTTTTTCTTATCTGCTAAATTTTAATTTCTCCATTTCTATTTCATTCTGCATAGTATTGCTTTCCCTGAAAATAATGTACATATGTAGGTAAGCATTTAGAAAATGATGATAATCCTGTGCTTTTTTTCTCAACAATCCCACAGGATAAGAATTATTTTACCCTAAGTAGGTTTAAAGATATTGTATCCCTGGGGACAATTGGATTTTGTATTTATTTTTGTTGGACGTATTTTGTTCCTGAATACGTTGCTGTTTCTTCAGATGGAATCTGTGTTTGGTTTCTTCAGTTCAGTCAGCTTGCAGCAGGACTTATGAATGCAGGGGTGGGTCTGTATGTGTATAAGCTAAGGCAGGGGTCTCCAAACTTTGCAACTTTAAGACTTGTGGAATTCTGGGAGTTGAAGTCCACAAGTCTTTAACGTTACTGAGTTTGGAGGCCCCTAAGCTAAGGGTTATCTTTTTGGGACCAATAAACCCCAGTGATTTTTCCTTGGCTTTAAGTAATATAATAGTCAGAATATCCTGTTTTTAAATTAAAGTGTGTGTTAGCAGAAAAAACAATTTTCTCTGAAATTCAGTAGTTAAACTATTTTGGCTTAAGCTGGCTGAGGAATTCTGGGAGTTGAAGTCCACAAGTCTTAAAGTGGTCAGGTTGAGGACCCCTGGCTTAAAAGCACACGTATAACTTCCTTCTTTATAACCTTTTCCAGATTAAAGCTCTTTTTAAATAGGATGGTAAAAAGTTTAAGTTCGTATTAATTGCCTGTAAAGTTTCTGGGAACTTGATTTGGGTGCTTTTGCAGATTTGAGTTAGTGCTCTTTCTGTGAAATTCCCAAATCTTTCATTTTTATTGAATGATGTAAATTCTGATATGCCTGGTATTTAAATGGGTAATCATTATAATTCACTGTGCACCTTAATCAACAGCTGAAAGGGCTATTTTTAATGTCCCTTCACTTTCAGTTGTTAAGCATTTCATTGACGTGCTGCGAATTGCAATTGAAGACCTAGCAGAAATTCCTCTTAATCCAGGAACTGATATCTGTCTTAATGGCAGGTCTGGATGCTGGAAGAAGGATTAGAAATAATTATAGTTAATGTCTGTAACATTGCTCAACAAGGCTAGTGAAGAAGGGAAGAGATCTTGTTCCATGGAGTGACATTAATAGCTGAGTCTGGCTCCCAGTTTACTAATTATTTAGCAAGAAAACTTGTTTTTGCATAGGCCAATTACAGAATTTAGCATGAATTCCTGACTGCTTTTATGTCAGCTACTCTGATGTTTACTAAATAATTCTTGTTGCATAATAAAAGGAAGAAAGCCCAATATGAATTTATTTCAGTGAATGGATCCCATAGTAGAATGTAATAGGTTACCAACAATTCTGAATATTTCTACTTTCAGCTTTTCCTATTCCCAGCTAATACAGTATAAAGATTAAATGGAACATTTCTGGAACATTTTAGATTATCACAGCTAATTATTAAAGAAGATGAATGTGCATGTGATGTATGATGAAGCATGTTTCTGTAGTGCATTATGTAAACATTTTGCTCCCTGCATTCATAGAAATGTTTCTACTACCTGTTTATTATTGCTCAAGTACAAATGAATTGCAAGATATGTTAATTTTCTCATTTCAGTGTGAATCTAAAGCTGGCTGTCAGATTGATTTGACATAAGTTAAGATAAAAATGCTGGACATCATCTTGCCAAAGTTAGGTAAATGACTATCAATGAGAAAGCCACTTTGGTTAAGTAAGCCTCACTGAAAAATAGCTTCTGTGTCACAAAAAAAAAGTATTTAAGCACAGGGATACCAAATGTAATTATCACTTTTAAAAGTAGCACTTCTGTTGTTCATATTCTTGGATGTAAATAAATGAAATGGTCTGTAATGCAGTGCTTTTTTTTTATAGTTTTAGCACTATTGACTTCTTAGTCTTGACCTTTAAACAAAGTTGTGATCTTAGTGGCACTGTGTTCGAAATTTTAATAATTATAGTTTTGATAGATTTGTAGTTTACCACATTGCATGCACTATTCCTTTTCCCATTCTGGAATAACTCCTTTCAGGACAAAGCTTGATTTATGCTAATATTAAAGAATTAAATAAACTGGAAAATGAGTAACCAAAGCAAATAATTGGTTTGCCTATAGAACAGACTGCAGTTCTGTCTCAAAAAAAAAAAAAAAAAAATTCTCAAAAAAGTAGACTTCATGAGCTCAATGACCATTAATAAACTCAGACTAAATTTTGAAGTTTCTCAACTTCTGCAGTTCTTGGCATTCAAGAGGAGCTGGCAAGATCCTTTTGAATCCTGCTGGTCTTCTCTCAAAGACCAGCCTTCTGTAGCACAAATGGGTGACCTTATGGCTTCTCCCTATCCAGAAAAGTGCTGTTCACCTCGGTGCAACCATCGTTCTACCTGGAAATGCCACAAGTGTCAAAAGGCAAATCCCAGTTATCCTAAAGGAATAGAGAAGAGAGATTGATTCACCACATCTCTTTAAGCTATCTAGGATGAGAATTTAAAACAGACAATGTTCTCCAGTCTACCCATAATTTATTAAATTATAATGACTAGCTAGCTGTAAAAGTTGATGTTCTTCAGTCTCCCTTCCCCCACAAACGAGTCTGGAATGCCTGATCTTTTTCCTCAAGGCTGCCCAGCAGCTTGGCTTCCCAGTTTACAGCCCCTTTCTGAGAGAGCTTCTTAGTTTTCCATTAGGAAAGGGAGCTTGTTTCAAGTCTAGTCCTCTTTCAAAGGTTGGGGGATGTAGGAGAAGGATTGGAAGAACCTGGGGTCAGAGTTAAAACAGGATTCATCTTAGAATCCCTATGTAGCCACAAGCAAACTATGCCCAACCCCTCCTTGATTTCCATTGACCCTTATCTAACTCCAAGCAGTTGCTGTTTGTTGAGAATATTCCTGTGCATAGGCATGAATAGCAACAAATCAGTTTAACTGGATCTTCATGTGTGGACCCAATCTTTTGCACTTGACAGGGGAGGCCTGAATAGAGAAGTTCAGAAAGTATTTTCCAACTTTTGATTCTACCCTGTTATCAATTTTATATCTAGCACTGAGGTTTATATACACTTTGGCTTTGAGTTGGGCTGCAACTGTATTAAATACTAAACAGTTGGATATATTCCTTCTCTCTGCCCCCCCCCCAGCAATTTAAGCTTATCAGGCACCAAATGTGAATATACTCCCTGATGATGAGGCTTATATCCAAGGATGGTGTTTTCCCTTCATGTCATCCCCAGTTAGATCCTTGTCAGATGAATTCATGTGATGTGGATGCAGTCCTAGGTCAAGCCTTCCATGCTTAAGAAAGAATTATTGTCACTGGCAAAGAAAGGATCTTATTTGCCAGGCTTTACAAAAGAAACACCAGAAAAAAATTGTGTTAATTCTAGGACATGCCATTGTTTTACATTATGGTAAAAGCACCCACCTATTTAATAACTAAATAACACTTCCTCCTGGCCCATACATGTTCTTTTAAATCCTTAACTTGTATAGCATGCTCATGTATGTTAGATCTGGAAGTTATCACGACAGTATGACTTATATGTTGTTATGGTAGAAATGAATATAAAATATTTATATGTTTTTATGGCCAGCATTGAGATTCATTCATACTTGAGCTTTAAATTGTTTGGCAATTGTATTAAATAATAAATAGCTGGATATAGGAGGCAGGAAAACAATACTCCCTCTCAAATCTGCTATTCAAATGAGTGCTTCAAATTGATTCATAAGAAACATTCTGATATGTACTATTTTTGCCATCATTTGTAGTTCAGCCCTCAGTTAGCTTCCAATGATACATTAGATGGTGTATCTCAATCTGATGGGATATTTTGACTGAAAAGTGCTTGGATCTAGATTCTCACATCATTAAGCCATTGCTTGGTTGGTGGGAAGGTAACAACGTCCATGCGCCTCAGCATATTGTCATGCTGGCCACATGACCATGGGAAGGGTCTTCGGACGACGTTAGCTCCTTCGGCTAAAAGATGAGCACTGTCCCCTACAGTCAGAAATGACTAGACAGGGGAAATCTTTAAAACCTATGTTAACTAAACAGGTTCAGTTTTAATGTTGAGATGATGGAATCAAGGACTTAGATCAGGGGTGTCAAACTGCCGGCCCACGGGCCGGATGCATCATGGCTAAACCGTGCCAACCCCATTGCTGGCAATGGAAAAAAAGTCGTGATACATCGCAACACATCACATGACTTTGTGAGTTTGACACCCCCGATTTAGATAATTTGTACTGTTTTCCTACAGAAAAAAGTACAACAGAAATAGGTATAGTCAGTTGTTTAAGCAGACATCATACTGTTCTTTTTCAAATATACTGGGGTATTTTTCCTGCCTCTGTATCTAAGAAAATAGTTATTTAGATCAATGTTTCTCAATCTTCGTCACTTTAAGATGTGTGGACTTCAACTCCCAGAATTCCCTCAGATAGTATTTCTGAATTCTGGGAGTTGAAGTCCACACATCTTGAAGTGTCTGAGGTTGACAAGCACTTAGGTCAGGGGTTCTCAACCTTGGCAACTTTAAGACTTGTGGACTTCAACTCCCAGAATTCCTCAGCCAGCTTTGCTGAGGAATTCTGGGAGTTGAAGTCCACAAGTCTTAAAGTTGCCAAGGTTGAGAACCCCTGACTTAGGTTGTTAATGTGAATGAAGAGCCACCATTTGAGAACCAGAGAAGAATTCTAGATTTCATCTCTTCCATTTCATTCTTATTTCTTGGTAATGTGACAAACTGCTGAGGAAGCAAACTCCTTTTCTTCTTCCAGACTGTATTATATGAACAGATGTTAACAGTATTATAATTTTATAATTATTTGGAGAGAGTTGGTTAGCTTTAAATGTTTTACAGACACTGTTTTTTGCAGCATATTGAAACATTAATCGGCAAGTCCCCATTGTACATATTTTCAGTGTCACTTTTGAAACTGGTTTGAAGAGCTTACTTAATTTGTTCTGCTCCCATTATTAAAGAGTAGAGGTATAGTTTTCACTAGTTCATTGTTGAAACAATTGATTTTGAATTTTTAGAGGAAAAAAACGTGTATATATGTTTTGTCTTCGATATGGGATTCTATCAGATACAGTATTTGTGGTAAATCAATAGGGACGTAGATTTTCTCAAGGTATCCAAGCAAAGACAGATTGATAGTAATTTGTAAGGGGGGGGGGAAGAGCTATAGCAAATCTAATTTACCTTCTCCAAAAAATTCTCAGAAGCTCATCTGTTTGGAAGTTCACTATACTGAGTGGCAATATAGGTAGTCCTAGATTTACAACCGTTCGTTTAACAGCTGTTTAAAGTCACAATAGCACACAAAAAAAAACCAACTTGTGATAGTTTTCCCATGATTGTTCCCCATGATCACATGGTCGAAATTTGGGCATTTGGCAACTAGCATGTCTTTATGACAGTTGTATTGTCCTGGGATCATGTGTAATCTTCCCATCCAGCTTCCAACAAGCAAAGTCAGTGAGGGGAAGACAGATTTGCTTAACAACCCCACGATTCACTTAACAACTGTAGTGATTCGCTTAACTGTGGCAAAAAGATCATAAAATGAGATGCCACAACTGTCTTGCTTAGCAGTGGAAATTTTGAACCCAACTGTGGTCGCAAGTCAAGGGCAACTTTTATTATAAGCAGAGAGGGCCTGGAGTGGGAGACTGGATGTGTATAAAAGTTATTAACTATCTTATTCCAAACTCACAGAGCCATTCAGACTGTTGTAGACTTAAAGGTTGTGGGAATTATACTTTGAATGCTGCCTGAATAATAGCCAAATCAAGCTTAGGTGACAATATCACTATGGACAATGCTTTGGGATATACTTCTATTTATTCAAAGAATGATTTCTAGAAGGGCTTTTTCTTTACCACAAATAGATTCTAAAATATATGAAAAAAAGAAAAAGTAATATTTAAAATGGTGAATGTGGTTAACTTTACCAGTTGATAATATGTACATGTATGTAAAATATTTGCAGATATTTGTATACATTTCTGTAATATATGTATATTTGGTTAATAATGGTGGGAGCTGGACTACTGTAAAATTACGCACTTTAATTTCTGTTGAAAATTTTAAATAAAATTTGTAATCCTGTAAAATAAAAGCAACAATTCATCAGTAATTGTTCTGCAAGTTTCATATTAAGGAGTTGGTTTATGGTATTTTTAAAAATAAGACTGGCCATATTAATGGTGGAAAAGAATCATGTGTAAACTGCAGGCAATGCTATAGTTTGTTTTCAAAAACAAGGATTAATTTGGTCTGGGTAAAAAGACACAAAAATGTCTTATTTCTTAAAAATATACTCTGCATAACAGCAGCATCAGTGTGGACTAATAATTATCATTATTGGACTACGACTGGGGAGGCTCAATTACAAGATTAATATCAGGAAAACCCACCTCATAGAAGGCTGTTGGGAAGACAAAAATGGATATGTTTATGTCGTACAATTTCAACCGAGATGCAAGAAGGTTTGACAATTATAAAATTACAAATCTGATCTCTGCCTTGCTGTTTTTTTTTTAATTGGGGCAATCTACAAACTTAGTAAAAAAAAAAAAAGAATCCAAAGATTTACTAGACAGGATTGAGGTTTTGCAATATCTACTTTAGAAACCAAGCTGTAGGTAGCAGAACATGCTATTAGGTCATTGTGTGAGAAATGGTAACAGGCCCTTCCTTGCTTTCATACACTTTAGTATTCTCAAAATATAACCTTATTTTCATAGGTTTGTCATGCATTACAGCAGGGATTCTCAACCTTGGCAACTTTAAGATTTGTGGACTTCAATTCCCAGAATTCCTCAGCCAGCAAAGCTGGCTGAGGAATTCTGGGAGTTGAAGTCCACAAATCTTAAAGTTGCTAAGGTTGAGAACCCCTACATTACAGGATGATGGACCTGTTTGAAATCCAGATAGACGCTTGATGTTTCTATGAAGCTGCTTTATATGAACCTTCTCTTCCTCTTCATTCTCCGAACATCCCTTAGTCATAAATTGATTTTCAAAATCAGGAACTCTTCCCAGCCAACTTCTTGTTCACCTTCATCCTTCCAGTAAGTTCCTAGACTTCTAGTGCATTTATGACAGAGAGTATTTCCACATAGGGTGAGCTCAAAATCAGCTCTGGGTTTAACCC